ATTATGTGGCAACCGGTATGAACTCGTGCTTTTACAAAACTCATTCGGATATCATATAAAAGGCCCCTAAAAGTTTTTATTCCCAGAGTATCACGCTTTGCTCGCCTGTCTAAATACTAAAAATTTCAGTAGCGTTGAAGCAACAACCCGCTTTTAACTGCTTCGCTGCCGCTGAAACAACGATTAGTGAAGAAAGCACATATTTTAATATTTTCAATTCAACGTAAACAAAAATCTTTATAAATGGTAAATATTCACTTGTGTCGGTATCAACTATTGCGTGACTAGCTTATGATATAAATGAGGGAGGGGAAAACATAACGCAAAATCTGAGCTACGGTCAAAAAGTAATACCCAGACGTAATATAATAAAAGAAGCGGCTAATAAAATCATAAATAAACAAGGTAAGAGTGTTATGTTAGATTCTTTTACAAGTTGTATTGATTTATGCCAATTAACGGTGGCGACAAGTGGGCGCACCATGTACATTTCATAGTCGCTATCCAGTTAATTTTGCCGGACTTTGAGTTCGTCTCAAGATAGAACAACGCAAATACACAAGGAAATTTTTAAAGTAACTTTGTAGCCATCCTTTAGTCTTTTAAAAGCTTGAAGCTCAGTAGATTATGTCGTATCGGTCATTGTCAAAACTGTCTTTGTTTTCATGCTACTTTTCGACATGGGAAAAGTATGTCGGACAAAAATATTCATCAAAAAAATAAATATTTCCTTGGCAGCTTCAATAACGACAGGGGATTAAATTTAGATGATAAAACAAAGGATTATGTTCACAGAAATACCGTAGGTCCAGTACATTCGTTACATGAGGTCACACAACTCGGGTAATATTCACGGTGAAAATTTGCATATTTGAGCAGTCGAACGAAAAAAGTCATTTCTCGAAAACTAAAATATATTTTCGCAAAAAAACTACACCACTATTATTAGAACATATTGTCAACAACATATGAAAGTTGGAGAGAAAACGAATTTTAGGCGACTTGCCACAATATTTCAAATTTGTTCGATGGATGCTGACATCCTCTCTTAAGTTTCGAGTATGAAACGGCAGACTGCATGAAAATTTCTCCACTTTATTTCTAAAGTAGATTGAATTTTATTCGTTGCTTAGATCTAGGAATTCACTTACCTGCTTTGAAAATACCATGCTGAGAATGAATAGCTTGCTAGCTAAAAGACTTGTATCTGGTGAGGCTTAACTGCAGTAGTTGACTCCTTCACTGGACGCGTGAACTAGTCGCAAAGTTAGGGTGGATGAAGTCTTTAAAGAGCCAAATCGAATCACTCCTGGGAACCAAACATTACTCTGGTAGATTACGTAACTTTGACATTTACGTCGTTTTACGTTATTTCTTCAATTCACCCTTTGAGCTTTCACAGATATCTTTATCCTACTAGATTGTTACATTTAAATTAATCTTCCGCTCTTCATGGTATCCGGGCACTAAAATGAATGCGAAAGACGTAATTCTCCTTTTGGGCTTTAGATTTCACGTGTAATTTCACGTGTAGTGTCACGTGACTTTTGAGGTAAACAAACCCCGAAAGTTCGGACATTGAGTCGAACTCGCGCACGTGAGTGCAAATTTCGGCTTTGGAAATTTTTCTTAAATAACTGCCCACCTTCAAGAAACGTTTCTTCGCTCAAAATTGGCATCTTTCTTCTATCATTTATTTGATCGTGTGTCAAGCAAGTTGTCATTTCGCTGCCGTTGAAGCAGATGCGAAGAGTGTTACAGGATGTGTATGGGCGACTCTTGAATTGAATTCGTTCAAGCAATTTCATTTTCCCACGCTGGAAAGATTAGCTCTGAAATCCGAAAAGAAACAAAGGACAAAAGATGGGTGGGGCGGCCATTTTTGAGGGTGTCAAAGTTACGCAATCTACCGAAGTAACGTTTGGTTCCCTGGAGGGATTCGATTTCGCTCTTTAAAGAGTTCATCCACCTTAACTTTGCGTTTGGCGGATTAAGAATTCATTACGAAAATTAATAGCCCTTTTCCAAAATCCCACGAGTCAGAGATCGGTTGCCGAAATAAGGGTGATGGGAGTAAGGATGAGTAGGGAGTTGCTTTCGACGGCACGAAACATGTAAATCCAGGGAAATGAAATAAAAATGATAAACAATGGGGCGGACATTTTTTCAAGAGAAACGAAAAATAGAAGCTCTCAAGGGAACTTTTCTGACAATTGTGTCGAATATTTCGTGTCGTTTACAAAATGGTTTATTGTTCAGTTTCTTATGGTACCAACGTTCTCGACTCCGCTCTGCCAACCGTTTTCAAACCGAGCAAAGACAGCGAAGAATGCTCGCAACGACTCAGAAACCGCCGATGACATCAAAACACCTGAGGCAAGGCTGTACACGATGCCGAAAAAAAACTCTACAACAAAACAACAACAACAAAAGTTTATTTATTGTAGCAATTAAAAAACATATCAAACAATCCCTACCTGCAAAATAGCGAAGCTAATCGAGGCTCTGGAATGTTACAGAGACTGCACGTCCGAGCAAGGTGACAATCAACATCTTTTTGAGATCTTCGGCAGCGGAATCGGTTAGTTTTCTCTGTTTCATTGCTGCAGATTTTTAAGATTAATCAAGCAGTTCCGTTTTCGCTTTCTTTTGCCGTTTATGAATTCCTCTCTCTCTCGCAAATAGTTGTGACTCGACCACTTTAAGAGGCACTGCGCCTAAGAAACGACCGATGATTTCTAGCTAAAAATTAAAATCGGCCGATTTTTATCTTCCAAGTGGAGGTTACCTAGTACTATTTAAAAATGAATTTTTTTTGCTTCAGTTTCGCTTTAAACCAAAAATATCGATCCGCGAACTTGTTACGACTGATGGCAGCAAAATCTGTCTCAAAATATGCCCTTTCAAAAACCGGTTCGAAAATCCCTATCGCAACACAAAATAATGAGAAAACTACGCAGTTATGAAGAAAAAGGCCTTTTAATTCAATATCATTCGATAAACATCGAAGAACTGCAGAAGCGAATGAAAAATTAATTTTCAAATATTGCATATCAAACTAGATGGAGCGTTGGAGATGATTAAAAAATAATTATTTCTACAAAATCCAACGCTGTTGAAAGCAATCACAGTGATCAATCAGACATTAGAAGGATATACATTGCGTTTCTGGAAAAACATTTTTCGGCCAAAGTATATTGACCTTGTACGAAGCGTTCAAAGTTGCAGTGTTTACCGTTACGTTACTACTCCGGCGAAACACTTCTCTGTTGCCAATACGTCCATGGACAGCGTGGTAAATGTCACTTTAAACCTTGCTAGGCGCTCAAATACCATCCTGAATAGAATGATATGGTATTAAAAGAGAAAGGAAGATAAAAAATAGATAAAAAAGAAAATAATTTACATTTACCATCTGCTGAGGTGAATTGAATCTTGGAAATGTTATCGCGTGACAGCACTCATTTCTCCAAACTACGGCGGAATCCAAGCAAACGCGTAAAATATAAGTTAAAAAACAACTCTTCCGCCGCCAGAAATCCTGAAGTGAAACAGTTTTTTATTATTACTATGAGTGATGATGAATTCAGGTGAAAATTAGCCTCAGATAGTGTCCATTTAGTACTTTGGTGGGCTGCATGTGTTTCGTTACATTCCAACGGACGTTACGGGTCAGCACTTACAAGGGTCAGTGGACGTAAAAATAGAGACAACCAGGTAATCATGGCGGATGCCTGTTCTTTGTCAAAAAAGGGTTTCCTGGACTGCGGATCCTCACGTGGTCGCACGGAGACAGTGTTTCTGCATGTATGAATGTCGAGATGATGTAACTACACGTCTAAAAAATTATTTTTTGTCGCGTGTCGCAGATCTGAGCGTTCTATTTCATTACAACATAGGGCGTCAAAAGTCGACGCTTCGGGTCAGCGGTCTATTGAAATAAATCTGACCATTTTTTCATTTTCGGGCCTGACGATAATAATGGTCTTTAAGGAGAAAAAGATTAGCTTACAGATTGAATTCTTAGCAAACTGATTAGCCTAGAGTTAGCGTTTTTTGAGAATAAAAACTCGGCGAGGACATGGTAAAAACAATTAGGAGAACGGTAGAATTTTAAATGCAATGAAAGCGATGGAAAGTGCTTCACTTATTTGGGAATTTTATTTCCTAAAATACTTCATTTGTTTCCTGCGAAACTTCACTTTGCAGAAATAGATCCTTATAACCTTTACAACGAAAGAACTGTATATTTGATTCATTATAAGATACATTGTTTCCTCTATAGTATTAACAATATTGACATAATAATCATTGTACTACGCACAGTCTGTGATAAACTCATATTGCAAAGTATCTGAAGTATGACATTGGACAGTACCACGCACTCAAACTCTTGTGGTGTAAAGATCGTAATACAGAATTAAATTACTCTTTGCTGCACTCGCATTCCTGTACAAGTTCTGAAACCTTAGCTAAAAGGTCTCTTTTTAGATCTTTAGATTTGTAGGGTATTTCGAAATACCCGCACATGTCTTTTAACATACTGACATTGAAAGATGATAACTTGTTGCTATGGTAATATTGACAGAGATTGTAAACATCATATATAGTTGGGTGTTTAAGCCCAGATTCTTTACCACCTCTTCAACAACATGGCGTTGCTCTCCAACTTCGTCACCTTCGTTATACTCTTCACTTGTGTCAGCCACGTGCCAACCCTGCCTTCTTCTCGAAGATGCCAAGCGAGAAAAGAATCCTTGGACTTGCAATTTTGTAAGCCATTCTTACCTTCCAAAACGCCTTTGGTTATCGTGAGTTCTCGCATTGCGCATGTCCTTTGCTACTTGTTCTGTAGAAGCTTTCTGTCCAGTTTTCTCTCCTATGTCAAACTTCTTCGTTAGATAATCTTTTACCTTTTCAGAAAACTGAGTAGGACCACGTCATGCCTTGGCCAGAGCCCATCCCATGTTTGCTTCGGGAACAGATTTTTCGCTGTGAGCTCATGTTGAATCAGTTTGGCAATGCTGGGTTTGACGATCATAGCATAGCATAGCAACCCAGTCTCGTTTTAGTTTATCATATATATTATGTTGCAGATCGGCCGGTTCGTTTTGTACCACGTGCTCTCTTACATCTAAATGAAGTTCAAAGTCTGAAAATCTTGCAAAAGTTTTTGTGCAGCCAGGCACGGGACAAACAAAAACAGTTGCGCTTTTAGGCTTGGTTTTCGTCTCTGGTTTAAGGACTCGAGACACGTCGATGGGGAAAAATGGCTCCTTGGTAATGAGCGACGGTGATTTTTGCGGTTTCACAATTAAAGACTTGTAAGGAAAAAACTTCCCGCTGCCAATGCCATTACATCGCCAGACACGAATGCCTTCACCCTCGAAAGAGAAGTTGTGAAATTTGCTAAAGCCTTCTAATTTTTAACCTCAGCGTTCATGTTTGATTCATCAACAGAGCCTACGGCTGCAGTTGTCCCTTTCACCAGCCGTTCTTTTAGCGCCGTGTGCATATCATTGGCCGTAACGATATACTTCTTTGTTGTTTTCGTCTTTAAAGATGACACTGCTTATGTGCCAACTTAATCCACGTTTACCAAACCACTCTGACTGTTTCTCTCTAAACTTCATTTGCTGAAATTTCATTGCCCAGTCCATTACAACGATTGCCTCGGAGGTGTTCAAGTTCTGTAAGAGGTCTTGTTTTGCCTTTTCTTGATTGCATGACCTAAGAATGTGCACTTTCCAGTCAAGGATGTTTTGTTTTGCTCTCACAAAATCGTACAAGATACCTTCTTGGTGATCTTTGCTGTAAAATGCAATGTCCACGTTTCTTTTTTTGGTCTTCCATTTCCCGCAGTAGGTTCTTTAAGGATTCACAATTGCTACACACAGCATCGTGGACATGATTGCATTCAAATTTAAAAGCATCAGCACTAATATCACCAAGAGCAAAATTACAGTTGTGTTCTGGGCATGTACTCTGCTGGCCGTCTCTGCAGTCGACAGGATACTCTGTTTTTAAGTACCGTTTGCATCCCCTAAGGGTTGTCGTGCTTTGCGTACACCATTTGGACTCAGCATCCAATGACTTCAGTTCATCTATTACTTTCTCTAGAGTCTCAAATGCAGCTGCACCATCAGTAGCGATATTGTCCAAGCCTCGAAGTGACCTTCTCTGGGATGCCTCCCTTACCTCAAGAATCTTAGAAAGAGTTCGGGTGCTGAGGGGTAAGAACGCCTCCTCTTCACAGTACTGTAAATACTGGTTAATCATGGTAGTTCGAGTTACAGTGCGCTCGACGTTAGGCATGGCCAGTTTCTCTCCCGTTCCTAGTTTTATTTCTCTTGTACCATAAGCCACGTGTTGATAGAAGTAAGGCCCATTAACAAAACCGACGAAATGATCGACCTTTGCCATTAGAAGGCGAATTCGATGTTGGACTGTTTTTTCCTGTGGAATTCTGGGTCCTTTTTCTTTAGCATATTTCCTGGCTTGTTTAATTTGCCAGCGCGTGACGGGCTCATTTGGTTCGTGATATTTCATAAGTTTTTTCTGTAGGGTATCTGTAGGCATACAGACTTAAAATCTGTAATTTGACGCTTTTACTAGGTGCATCTCTATATGCCGTCATCAGCGCAGATAGTTCTTCACTAAGATCGTCTTCTGAAGCTCTTGTACTCGATTTGGATAGCACCTGAAGTAAATCCCCTTTTGCGTTCGGGGCTACCACCTCACAAACCAGAAGACAACCTTGAAGAGATTTTTCCTGGCTTTTCTGGCGATCGAGTTCGGTAATATTTTCCCATGATGTCTTTAGGCGAGATGTTAAGGGGGAGAAGTTGTCTGCAGACGAACTTGATATTGCTAATTTTGACATTGCCGTGTTGTACATATGAAGAATTTCAACATCTCGGGGAGTGATAAAGGGCTCTTCTTCGTCGGAGCTACCACTGCCTTGTACACCCATTGCACTTAGGCTCCAGGCTGGATCTTTAGGACTCGTGACGATCGTCTTAGGCGTTGCTGCAAAACCTGGACTCGGCTCAGTGTAGTGTATAGTCTTAAGGGGCTTTCTGTCACAAACAAATTATTTTTAATTTTTATTTATTAATGTTGCTTAGCCTTGTAATACAATTAAAAATTCATTTATTACTCACAGAAAAGATAAAGTGAACATATAATGAATTTTGTGTACTGTCATGAAACACCTATAGGTTCTCAGCCCGTACTTCCTCAGAAAAGATATTTCTACAATTTAAGCATACCTTAACTTGTAAGTTTTTTTAGCAGCATGTGTTTTTGTACAATCCTCTTTAGGAGCAAACAGTGTAGAATTCGTATCTGCTTTATGTTTTATACGACCGGGTGAACATATAGCTAATGGAAAGATAAAAGAAAAGTAATCAAAAATACCCTATAAGACAAGCACTGTAAAATAAGAAAATTTTTTATGACAAAGAAATCCTCCAAAAGTTGTGTGTTTTATTCTTACGTGAGCCTATCGGCACAGATATTTCAAACAACCGAAACACCTCCTTAGCCTATTAGATATTTTTGGTTTAAAGTGAAACTGAAGCAAAAGAAATTCATTTTTAAATAGTACCAGGTAACCTCCACTTGGAAGATAAAAATCGGCCGATTTTAATTTTTAGCCAGAAATCATCGGTCGTTTCTTAGGCGCAGGGCCTCTTAAGTTTCGAGTGGTCTTCGTTCGCTTTTCAGTTGTTTATCCCTTTTATTTCATTTCCCTGGATTTACATGTTTCGTGCCGTCGAAAGCAACTCCCCACTCATCCTTGCTCCGATCACCCTTATTTCGGCAACCGATCTCTGAATCGTGGGATTTTGGAAAAGGGCAATTAATTTTCGTAATAAATTCTTAATCCGCCAAACAATACTTAAGTAGTAACGGGCCGACATTGAGGCGCTCTGAAACGAAAGGAACGGCACAATGAAATAAGAATTAGTTTTCAGCATTTTTAACTCGGAGTGCATTTCGAATTATTCCTGCAAGATCTTTTTAGATAGAAATAAGAGAGATGGTAAGTTTTGAGCTCGGTAAAGAAAGAGAAAGATGTTTTTCGTCATGTCACGAGCATGGGACAAAGAAAAAAATCTGTGTCTCCACGAGGAATCGAACCTCAGACCTTCGGATTCCGCGTTCCGATGCTCTACCGCTGAGCCACAGAGACTCCACGGCTGGGATCAGCAATGTCGATGGCGTAATGTTTGTAGATAGTAATAAGAGATAGATAGTAAATTTTGAGCTCGGTAAAGAAATAAAGAAAGATGTTTTTCAGACATTGCGGATCGTAGCAGTATGCAGGACGAGTGTGATATGAACTTCGTAATAGACCCCGCTCACAGTGGAGTCTCTGTTGCTCAGTGGTAGAACATCGGAGCGCGGAATCCGAAGGTCTGAGGTTCGATTCCTTATGGGAACTCGGAATTTTTTTTGTCCCACGCTCGTGACAAGACGAAAAACATCTTCTTTTAAGATCTTTTTACTCTTAGCGCAACCAGGTGGTCACAAGGGTAGTCGCCCTATTATGATTCTCTTTCAAAGCTCTTACTCGAATGTTGGCACAAGGTCACATCATTTTGCGAAAAAAGATTTTTTTGTGAGAAAGTCGTCTTTTTGCAAGGATTTTTGTGCATGTAATTTTTGAAGTTGCTTAAGTTTGAATTTCCTTTTATCGCTTCATTGCGGCCCCAACTATCTGCAATATGTTTGACTGATTCATCCCTTCGTTGTCTTTGTGTATTTTGGCAAAGAACCACTTGATGGTTTCGCTCACCCTTTCGGTAAATTCAGGTCAGTTTGGAGAAAAGAGAGACTAAAAGTTCTCGACCTGAATCACGAAAATGATTTAAAAACTCAGATCTCGAAATATATCAGTTTGATATCAAAGACCTTAGGTTTCGAGTATGAAAAGGCAGACTGCATCGAAATTTCTCCACTCTATTTCTAAAGTAGATTGAATTTAATTCGTTACTTAGATCTTGGAATTCACTTTCCTGCTGTGAAAGAGCCATGTTGAGAAGGAATAGCTTGCTAGCTAAAAGACTTGTACCCGGTGAGGTTTAACTTCAGTAGTTGACTCCTTTACTGAACGCGTGAACTGATCGCAAAGTTAAGGTGGATGAACTCTTTAAAGAGCCAAATCGAATCACTCCAGGGAACAAAACATGACTTTGGTAGATTACGTAACTTTGACATTTACGTCAATAGTAGCCTTACGTTATTTCTTCAATTGTGTCTTTTGCATTCATTTTTGTGCCCGGATACCATGAAAAGCGGAAGATTCGTTTAAATATAACAATCTAGTAGCATAAAGATATTTGTGATGAATCATTGGTGGGTCAATGTGGAGAGTGTCCAGATTTTGTGCGGTGACTCTTGAAGTGAATATATGGCGGAGGCTACAACTTCCACCTTTTTGAATTAGTTGCGCGTACATTTTATCTTATGGCTTGTTAGGCGCACATGAACTGCGTCTTCGCTGCTTTGAATTCGTTCACGCAATTGCATTTTACCACGCTGGAAAGATTAGCTCTGATCCGAAAAAAAACAAAAGGCAAAAAGGTGAATGGGTCGACCAATTTTTAGTTACTCAAACAATTGGGGGATAAAAATTTACTTAACTGTTCTAGTGCACGAATTAGAATTCAGTTACAGTGAACTGGAAATAACAAATTGGGATGAGAAAAATGCCATCTTGGCAAATTTCATTTAAGTCGTCATAAGAATATTAAGAGAAAAATACAGTCTAACGTCGTTTGAAAACTTAACTCATGAACTGATGACTATAAACACACCAAAAAGGAAGGACAAATCTTCACCATTCGCAATTTTTAGTGGCGCTTATTATTCAAGTTGTGTTTGATACGGTGAAAACTGGACGATTTGTTTCAATATCACAACCAATCAGGATAAAGATATTCGTACACCACTTTTAGGACGTTTGTTACTTTTGAAAAAAAAAAAAAAAAAGTGGACGCTCTAACTTATTGCGTGTTCAACTTACACCTAGAACAGCTTTACATTGCCTTTCTGGTTTGAATTCGTACAGCTCATTACATTTTATTATACTGGTAGGATTAGCTCTTGATCCGAATAGAAACAGCAAAACCAAAGATGAGTGGGACGCGCCAGTTCAATTGTGAACCCCTCTATCGCACCGACGAGCGATCAGTTACAGTCTGCTGAACTATCACCCTTACCATTATGTTTCTCTCGAAATCAATCTTTATAATGAACGGAGCCGCTTTCCGAGTGAGAGAGAATTGACTTGAGTCAACGTCTCTAAAGTTTTCTTACAGCAGTGGGTACACACTCATTGCTACATTTTTTTTCTCCATTTCTTTTAAAAGTAACGCTGGCTTTCCTTTAGACCTCTGCTGGATACCTGGCAGCTTTTGTTTATTTCGTGAAATTTCTACACTTCACAAAATTCGATGAATTCTACGATCATGTTAATTAAAATCTACTTAAACCGGGTGTGAAATTCAATTCAGAGTAACAGTTGATAAATTTTCAAGGAGCCTTATTTACATTGACCGTCTGATAAATTTTAGGGTCTCACGAAACAATATTCCATGACCTTTCTCCATTTTAATGGCTGAGTAATTAACTATTGAAAGCGTGGTAGAAGAGCTGCTTGTAGCTAATGATGTTATCAAAATATTATCTGGGTATATTATCTGGGTGTATTGTTGGTGGGTCAATTGAAAGAATGTCCAGATTCTTATTTTTTTTTTCAGGAGACTCATACAGCAAATATCAGCCTAAACCCTACTACTTAATTGAAAAAGCGGACACTTAAACTTATATTGAGTTACGCTCACTTGAAATACATCTTTACCGCTTTGAATTCGTTAACCTGATTGCGTTTTCTCAGGCTGGAGAGATTAGCTCTGATCCGAAAAGAAACATACAGCCTTTCGGTGGAAATTCTGTGAAAACCTCTGACTGCCGTACATTTAGTCACAGAGTTAAAATTAGTCTGCTTAAACCTTTGTGTTTTTACTAAGTTATGCAACATAATAGGAAAGAAGTATTTTTTCACGTGTGTTGTTACGGCTTTCTCAGGGCTGGAAATCCTTGTATAACACCGTAGTTTGTATGATAAAATGATTTCTGGCAACATTTTACGTCGAATGTAAAGTATGTTGGATTATGTTTCGCAAACATATCAGTTTTAGGCTGCTTATGTGTTTTCGGTTTTAATCTTGTTTATCATCTGTTCATGCACAAAGATAGCTCAATACCCACATCGAACAAAATTTAAGGCTTGAAACCACATCGAGGCTTCGGTGTTTGTCCGGGTTCCGGCGTTTATTTACGGTCGAGCCCACAAAAAATTACGCACAATTGAACAGCACTTCCGTGACATACTGTTGCTCTTAAATCTGTTTTAAAATTTTCAAAGGAAGTGCACCCGTTTAAATATCATGACAAAAATGAATGCCAAGGAACGAAATGAAGAAGAGCTGTTTGCCATAATCCAGACACATTCTTTTAATCTTGATTTCATCATCTGGTGCAATACGCACGCCAATTGTATTAATGCAATTTTTATACACAAATCAGGAGCGTTGAATCGAAATCGACCAAAGCGTGACAAGGATCGAAGTCGTCCTCTCTGAGGCTACATCAAATCTATTACATGTACAGCTCACAGCGTGACATGATTTAATGAACAGGTCAATTCTTTCCTTTTTACTTATTTTATTTATTTTTTTTCGTTTAATTCAGTCGAGAACCAACAAGAAGCAGTTGGCCAAATCAGTCGGGGATTCCCTAGAATTCCGAGAAACTAAAAAGATTGAAATCAACAAGATGGTTCTTCGTCGATTCTTTGCTTTTGGGAAGCGATGGCGCAAATTTTCATCTCGCAATTATCCTTAAAGATTGTTAAGGGGAACAATTATGTCACATTAACAGAAAAAAAATTAAAAACCTGAAGTGTGCTTCTTGACCAGAAAAATTGGTATAGACATTAGGGTAGACAGAGCCATCCGTAAGAACATATTTCCGTGGATTCTGCGCCGTTCGGAAATCACCCTGTTGATCATTTTGGCCGTCAGGCTAGTTATTACGAGCACGTATAAACTTAGGAAACTACTACCTATCACTAGGCGCTGAGTTGCCACAGAAACATGTCATAAATCACTCACAATTGTCTACCATGAATCATATTAACGTTTATAATTAGGTTTAATTCACTTGCTTGGTATGTGCTTTAGTCTTGTTTATTCTATATTTCTTGTCATATCTTCGATCAACACAATGCTCAAACGTTATATTTCTATTTTTGCGTGGATTTTTTTCATTAATAGTTATAGTGTAATACCTGTAACAGTAAACAAAAGTTATGAAATGGCAACTGTCCGTCAAAATTATAATTTTGCATTCATTCCCCTGACCAATGACGTAATTATTCGATGCTTATTTGCTAAAAATAATTTTCGGTAAAATTCCCAATATTGTTTATATCGGTCAGCTCAATAACCAATGAGAGGTTAATACGTAGTAGCATTAAGGGGTTCCCCCGGCAGATTTCTGAGAAACCGAAAGAGCAAAAATATGCTGAGGTCGTAATTCACATTTGGATAGCGACACTCGTACGTTCGACTCCCTTTTGAATATTTCCTTGGAGATAATAGTACAACATATTAGCAAATTATTGGGGGCAATAGTTGACTCATCAAGGGAAAGAATCGAAGCATTAGGTCTTCTTCTTAACAGCCATGAACGGATCGACCAAGTCGAAATGGATGACAGGACTTGTGATTCTGTTGATCGCGACTGCTTGTTTGGTTGTGGCATTTGAACTGATATCATTGCATAAAAGATCTCTCGAAGATAAAGGTGAGTATTGAAACTATCTTTTTATTGCTGGGTAAAAGGATTGAATGCAGAAATCAAAGGAAAATTTTTGCGAGTATAAATCTCTGAAGATATAACTGTTGGCGTGAGAGTTGCTCAACATTCTTACAGAAGTTAACTAGCTCATTCACCAATACTTTGTTTCAACAATGACCTTTTCTCCGATGTTTGCTTAAGTCTAAACTTATTTGTTAAAGATACTAACAGAACAGCGATGGATATCAGCAGTTTAAGCTTACTTTCGACTGTGAACTTGAGAGCAAGAAAATGCTTCGATAGGCATTTTGCACGAACTGATGTAAAGCTTTTGTCTCTCGATTTAATCCGCTGAATAATTAATGTAGGATCTCCTGAAAATTTGTTGAAATAGTAAAAATAGTTCATCAGCCATCTAGAATCTTGAAGTTCGGTATAAAAATTTTGATCCGTCTCGTCTCTCCTTAACAGATACACCAACACTAGCGACAAGTTTTAACTGCCGTCAGAAGCCATTTTGTGATGGAAACGCTACATGCAAAACAAATCCAAAAGATAAGACTCATTTCAACTGTGTTTGTAATAATGGCTTCGAAGGAGATGGATTCTCTTGTAAGGACGTTGATGAATGTAAAAGAAATGCTGCCACATGCAGTCAGCATGCATTTTGTATAAATTCCATTGGCTCGTACGATTGCCGCTGTTTGAGAGGATTCCACGGCAACGGTTACTCCTGCGAGGATATCGATGAGTGTCAAAGAAAAATGCACAGCTGTAGCGACCATGCAGTGTGTGACAACACTGTAGGTTCCTTTAAATGCAGTTGTTTCGATGGATTTGCGGGCAGCGGACGGTCTTGTTACGACATAAATGAATGCAAAACTAATGCTCACAACTGTAGTGTTTATGCATCATGTAATAACACTGTGGGCTCCTACATGTGCAGTTGTCTGGAAGGATTCCAAGGTGATGGAAAGTCTTGTCATGACATCAATGAATGCAATACTAACAGACATGCTTGTAGTGTTCATGCATCCTGTAATAACACTCAAGGCTCCTACACATGCAGTTGTCTGGAAGGATTCCAAGGTGATGGAAGGTCTTGTCATGATATCGATGAATGCAAGAGTAACACACACGCCTGTAGCGTTTATGCATCCTGCAATAACACTGTTGGCTCCTACAAGTGCAGTTGTCTGGAAGGATTCAAAGGTGATGGACGGTCTTGTCGCGATATTGATGAATGCAAAACTAACTCACACGCCTGTAGTGTTCATGCATCCTGCAATAACACTGTCGGCTCCTACAAGTGCAACTGTCTTCAAGGATTCCAAGGTGATGGACGGTCTTGTCATGACATCGATGAATGTAAGATTAACACACACGATTGTAGTGTTTATGCATCCTGTAATAACACTCAAGGCTCCTACATGTGCAGTTGTCTGGAAGGATTCCAAGGTGATGGACGGTCTTGTAATGATATTGATGAATGCAAGAGTAACACACACACCTGTAGTGTTTATGCATCCTGCAATAACACTGTGGGCTCCTACATGTGCAGTTGTCTGGAAGGATTCCAAGGTGATGGACGGTCTTGTCATGATATTGATGAATGCAAGACTAACTCGCATGCCTGTAGTGTTCATGCATCCTGCAATAACACTGTCGGCTCCTACATGTGCAGTTGTCTGGAAGGATTCCAAGGCGATGGACGGTCTTGTAATGATATTGATGAATGCAAGAGTAACACACACACCTGTAGTGTTTATGCATCCTGCAATAACACTGTGGGCTCCTACATGTGCAGCTGTCTGAAAGGATTCCAAGGTGATGGAAGATCTTGTCATGATATCGATGAATGCAAGACTAACTCGCATGCCTGTAGTGTTCATGCATCCTGCAATAACACTGTCGGCTCCTACATTTGCAGTTGCCTAGAAGGATTCCAAGGTGATGGACGGTCTTGTCTCGACATTAATGAGTGCAGTACCAATAAACACAACTGTAGCGTTTATGCATCCTGCAATAACACTGTCGGTTCTTACAATTGTACGTGTCACAAAGGATTCATGGGGGGTGGACGATCCTGTCAGGATATTAATGAATGCCATACCAATAAACACGAGTGTAGTGATCATGCATTTTGCAATAACACTATCGGCTCTTACGAGTGCATTTGTCGACGGGGATTCGTAGGGGGCGGACTGTCATGTCATGACATTGATGAGTGTGGCGATGGAACTCACAAGTGTGATAGGAATGCAGAATGCAAAAACATTATAGGTTCTTATGAATGCGTGTGTCGATCTGGGTTTTCCGGCGATGGTTATGTGTGTCAAGATGTTGATGAGTGCAGCGACGGAAGTCATCTTTGCAGCCCTCAATCCAGGTGTGTAAACATCCCAGGATCGCACAACTGCACATGTAACAACGGGTATCGTGGAAATGGACAGTCATGCAACGGTGAGCATAAAATTAGCGATTGAAGCGCTATAAATAGGTATAGCCTATGGCCTACACTATAATGGCTCTTTTCTAGACACTCCTGGTCTTGTGGTAGGAGCTTGATATTTCTTTGGTTGCTGTTCGTTTACAATTCTATCGCTGGATGAGAGGGAAAATTAACTTATTTAATTCCTTCGTAGATATCAACGAGTGCAAGGAAGGGACAGCCGAATGCAATTCGAAAGCAAGTTGTTCGAACACGCCTGGTTCTTTCAGCTGTAAGTGCATTGTGGGATACCGAGGCGACGGGAAAAGTTGCCACGATAAAGACGAGTGCAGTAGTGGTCAGCATTGTTCCAGGAATGCAGACTGCAGAAACACCGATGGCTCTTATACATGCAGTTGCCATTCCGGCTTCTATGGTGGTGGTTTTTCGTGTCGTGATGTGGATGAGTGCAAAGAGGGTATCCATAGTTGTCATGCAAAAGCTCAGTGCTCGAATACCTGGGGATCATACAGTTGTTCCTGTAAGAAAGGATATCATGGAAATGGCAGGCAGTGTAAGGGTAAGCAAGCTCTGCTTCTAAGCTTGTTTTTGCTTTGAATTTATCAAAACCTTTAGTCAAAGGGCTGTTACCTTGCATTAATAGCTTAACCTTCAGGCGGAGTATACTGAATTTGTGAACCATCATTTTATTGTTTAAGGGGTGGCATGACCACAACTTCAGCTCTCCCAACAGCGCTAACAGTGTTACATCTTTGAATGCACCCATGAAAACCTTCATTTGTAAGAAATGCGGATTGAATCTGTTTTGACATTGTTTTCGTTTGTTTTGCAGCTTCTTCTGCTGGACTGCCCCAGCCACTCATCGGAATTTTTCTATTTGGCACTTTAATCGCTTTTGCGTTATAATTACTTTGTAAGTACGTAAAGAAGAAATAATAATAATAATAATAATAATAATAATAATAATAGTAATTAATTTCTATAGCGCATTTTCCTAACGCCCAAATGCGCTTTACAGTTTCAAATTGTCATAACCTATAATTAAATAAAGATTTAAAGTCTAAAAATATGCTTGTCGAAAAAGATAGATCTTAAGCTTAGCTTTAAAAATAGCGGAGACAGATGCGCTGCTTTTAATCTCTAATGGAACCGAGTTCCAGAGGTAAGGCGCGCATACTGAGAAAGCCCTCAGGCCAGTCAATTTGAGCTTGTGTGTTGGTTGCTCCTGTAGAAGTTGGTCAGCAGACCTGAGAGCTCGCCTAGGAACATAAGGATTGATGAGCTTAGTCAAGTGCGTTGGAGCCGCACAATGGAGTGCCTTGAGGGTGTACAGTAAAATCTTAAAAATAATGCGCTGACGGACGGGGAGCCAGTGAAGCTCAATAAGTTGTGGTGTGACATGATCAAGCTTATGCTTGCAAGTGATCACTTTTGCCGCCGCGTTTATAACATATTGTTGATGCATGGAAACTACCTTTATAGTTTCCTTTAACACCATCCCATAAAGGGTTTGTAATGCATTGCAGTGTTGCAATGCTGTTTTATAATCAAGTTTAGAAATAAAAATGTCAGTACACTAACTGAAGCACATTGAGTCTATCACTGATCAAGTTTTGTTAATACACCACGAACTTTACTCCAAAGTTTCTATCGCCTCACTTTTCAGGTTAAATTAGAATTATTGTGTTTAAATATACTTGAGCGAAGTATTAGAATATGACATTGGAAACATTGTTTTATTCAAACGCTTCCTTAGTGGGTCCAGTTTCGTTAATATAAATACGTGATGCCTTTTATAATTCTCAACATCGCGTCCAGCGATGCATCCTAAGAACGGTTTCAAATCAATCTTACTGCTGTGAGATGAATAGCCTTAAACCAATTCACCTAGGAGTGGCTTGCTTCATGGACGGGCGAAGGAAGAACTACGTAAAGCAATGTTTACTTCTAGCTCGTGAGTGGGGTACTGGTCTTTCGCAGGCTACGCACAGAATTACATCACGTTTTTCTCCACGGCACCAAATTGGACTCCTCGGCGGTGATAGACATTAGGAGAGTAAGGCTTCTTGCTGAAATCTAACTTTATGATATTCATTTATCATCTTCTCAAGCAGCAAAATAAAAAGGTCACGTTAAAGAGTAGAGCGCAGGCCGAAACTTAATATTCCAGGCGTAATGATGACAGTTTATCAGATTTTTTATGCAAGAAACAATAAATTGTAAATTATATTTGACTTATTCGGTATTTCACTAAAACTCCTTTATAACATTTTGATTGCAACCCTGTAAGAGTGAGCTCTGCAAAGTGCCGTATAATGTCATGAATATGTCATATTATCTCTTACGTCACTTGCATGCATCTGTCCTGCAGTGACCAATGAGGGTTAAGCTCGTTCCGAGAGGGGGTTCCCCTACTCAAATTCCGAGAAATCGTACTTGCGTCGGTGAAAAGACTGAGTCAGTTATGACTCTGCATTGCACTTGAAAGCGACAGGTATCGAATTCATCTTGATACTTTTTCTATAATTATCGTTCACCGCCAAATCTACAACTTGGGAAAATAACTATGTCATGTCAAGAAGAAAAACCCGGGCACAAACTTAACGTTTCAAGTCTGAAAGGATTTCGGAGGAAAAAAGCCATATGTTGGATTGTTGGTGTTACGTGCCTAATAACTGTGGTCATACTTGCACTGATATTTGGAAGCTTCAAAATTGAAGGTGAGGTTAGTTAATCCTAAAGGAGTGAGAAGCATTTCTAATCCATATTTAGTATCCGAAATAATTCGCGGGTATGCGATTCGCTGATGATGATGATCGGGTTATATATGTAGGGGCATGTTCGTGAAAGATTTATTATACTTTGTGATTCATTTTAAATTTTTGTCGTATCGGCATAAACCTTATATTCGATGCTTATTTGGGAAACAGTTTATGTAGATCCTTCTTTAATTTCTTAGAGCAGCGTCAAATGATAGATTTCAGTACTTCTTCTTTACTTACGTTTGGAGCGTGAAAAGCGATGGAAATGCTTTGCTAAGCACATTTGGATGGCCCAAATGTTAAAATTAGACTACAGTGATTTTAGCCTAATACTATCACTTTTAAGAAAAAATTACCTTACTTAAAAGCCTGTAGTAAGGTACCTGACCAGAAAAAATGGTACAGACATTGAGGTAGACAGAGCCATCCGTAAGAACAGATTTCCGTGGATCGTGGACCGTGCGGGAATCACTCTGTAGATCGTTTTGGCCGTCAGGCTAGTTCTCACGAGCAAGTATAAACTTAAGAAACTACTACGTATCTCTAAGCGCAGAGTAGCCACAGAAACATGTAATAAATCCCTCACAATTGTCTGCCATGAGTTATATTAACTTTTGATAATTAGGTTTAATTCACTTGCTTGATATGTGCTTTAGTCTTGATTATGCTCTACTTCTTGTCATATCCTGTAAGAGACAGAAAATAAACGTTCTATGGTTTGGTCTTCGGTGACCGCACGCAAAATATCGCGGGCGCTCTTTCCCACGAAAAGCACATGTTTTGTTATTGAGTTATACTGTTGTTTCGTTAGGACAAGTTTTCCTTTCTATTTAGAAGGCACAATAACTTGTAAGTATGCAGTATTTCGGTTATTCGGTCAATATCATCTTTGTAATAGTCGCGTTGTTGTTATTTCAGCGAATCTTTCTCTTTCACGTGCAATTTGTGAATGGAATGAATACAAGTTATGTGCAGATTAGAAACGAACTAGCAAGTGAACAACTGATTAAAGTACAGTTTCAAGTAGCTATGAGTGGACGCTACATATCCTTCGATCAGCATAATGCTCAAACATTGAAAAACCGTAATATTTTCCATTTTCGCGTGGATTTTTTTTTTATTAATAGTTATGGTATAATACTTGTAACAGAAAACAACAGTTATGAAATGGCAATTGTCTGTCAAAATTATAACTTTGCATTCATTTCCCTTGACCAATGACGTAATTATTCGATGCTTCTTTGGTAAAATTAGCATTAGGGGGTTCCCCTGGCAGATTTCTGAGAAACCTTATGAGCTAAAATATGCTGAGGTTGTAATTCACATTTGGATAACGACACTCGTACGTTCGACTCCCTTTTGAATATTTCCTTGGAGATAATAATACAACATATTAGAAAACTATTGAGGGCAATAGTAGACGCATCAAGGGAAAGAATCGAAGTATTAGGTCTTCTTCTTAAGAGCCATGAACGGATCGATTAAGTCGAAATGGAAGACAGGACTTTTGATTCTGTTCGTCGTGACTGCTTGTTTTGTTGTGGCATATGAACTGATATCATTGCTTAAGAGATATATCGAAGATAAAGGTGAGTATTGAAACTATCTTTTTATTTCTGGGTAAAAGGACTGAATACAGAAATCACAGGAAAATTTTTGCGAGTACAAATCTCTGAAAATATAACTGTTGGCGTGAGAGTTGCTCAACATTCTTACAGAAGTTTACTAGTTCATTCACCAATACTTTGTTTCAGCAATGACCTTTTCTTCGATGTTTGCCTAAGTCTAAACTTATTCGTTAAAGATACTAACAGAACAGCGATAGATATCAGCAGTTTAAGCTTATTTTCGACTTTGCACGAACTGATGTAAAGCTTTTGTCTCTCGATTTAATCCGCTGAATAATTAACGTAGGGTCTCCTGGAAATTCGTTGTAATACGAATAGAAGTTCATCAGCCGAATTTTGAAGAATTTTGAAGTTTGGTATAAAAATTTTGATCCGTCTCGTCTCTCCTTAACAGATACACCAACACTAGCGACAAGTTTTAACTGCCGTCAGAAGACATTTTGTGATGGAAACGCTACATGCCAAACAAATCCAAAAGATAAGACTCATTTCAACTGTGTTTGTAATAATGGCTTCGAAGGAGATGGATTCTCTTGTAAGGACGTTGATGAATGTAAAAGAAATTCTTCCACATGCAGTCAGCATGCATTTGTATAAATTCCATTGGCTCGTACGATTGCCGCTGTTTGACAGGATTCCATGGCAAAGGTTACCGCTGCGAGGATATCGATGAGTGTCAGAGCGAAATGCACAACTGTAGCGACCATGCAGTGTGTGACAACACTGTAGGTTCCTATAAATGCAGTTGTTTCGATGGATTTGCAGGCAACGGACAGTCTTGTTACGACATTAATGAATGCAAAACTAATGCTCACAATTGTAGTGCTCAAGCATCATGCAATAACACTGTTGGCTCCTACAGTTGTGAGTGTCACAAAGGATTTCTGGGAGATGGACGATCCTGTCAGGATATTAATGAATGCCATACCAATAACAACAGTTGTAGTGATCATGCATTTTGCAATAACACCATCGGCTCCTACTCGTGCACTTGTCGACAGGGATTCATAGGGGATGGACTGTCATGTCATGACATTGATGAATGTGGTGATGGAACTCACAAGTGTGATAGGAATGCAGAATGCAAAAACACTATGGGCTCTTATGAATGCGTGTGTCATTCTGGGTTTTCCGGCAATGGTTATGTGTGTCAAGATGTTGATGAGTGCAGCAATGGAAGTCATCTTTGTAGCCCTCACTCCAGGTGTGTAAACATCCCAGGATCGCACAGCTGCATATGTAACAACGGGTATCGTGGAAATGGACAGTCATGCAATGGTAAGCATAAAATTAGCAATTGAAGCGCTATAAATATGTAGCCTATGGCCTTCACTATTATGAATCTTTTCTATACACTCCTGGTGGTCATGTGGTGGGAGCTTGATATTTCCATGGTTGCTGTTCGTTTACTATTCTATCTCTGGATGAGAGGGATAATTAACTCATTTAATTCCTTCGCAGATATCAACGAGTGCAAGGAAAGGACAGCCCAATGCAGTTTGAAAGCAAGTTGTGTGAATACCCCTGGTTCTTTCAGCTGTAAGTGCATTGTGGGATACCAAGGTGATGGGAAAAATTGCCATGATGAAGATGAGTGCAGTAGTGGTCAGCATTGTGCAAGAAATGCAGATTGTAGTAACACCGATGGCTCTTACACATGCAGTTGCAATTCTGGCTTCCATGGTGATGGTTTTTTGTGTCATGATGTGGATGAGTGCAGAGGGGGTAACCATGGTTGTCACACAAAAGCTCAATGCAAGAATACCTGGGGATCATACAGTTGTTCCTGTATTAAAGGATATCATGGAAATGGCAGGCAGTGTAAGGGTAAGCAGGCTGTGCTTCTAAGGTTTTTTTTGCTTTGAACTTATCACAACCTTCAGTTAAAGGGCTGTTACCTCGCATCAATAGCTTAACCTTCAGGCAGAGTATACTTTGGCTGTCCCAACAGCCTTAACAGTGTTATATCTTTGAATGCACCTCTGAAAACCTTCATTTGTAAGCAATGCTGATTGAATCTGTTTTGACATTGTTTTTGTTTGTTTCACAGCTTCTTCTGCTAGACGGCCCCACCCACTCATTGGAATTTTTCTATTTGGCACTTTCATCGCTTTTATGTTATTATTACTTTGTTAGTAGAAGAAATAAGTTGATGCATGGAAGTTGATGGATGGAAGTTGATGCATGGGAGTTGATGCATGGAAGCTACCTACAGTTTCCTTCAACACCATCCCATAAATTAATTAAATATTGCACAGGAAGTTTTATGAGTCCTGGCATTGTCAATGTCATAGATCTCTTGGAGTGCAGTTGAATAATAACATATCAAAGCATGTTTGAAGTCATTTACATTGTTAATACTTAGATTAGCTTGCCTGAAAGTGTGTTCCACATTCTTATTATTTGTACAATAAATGACTGTTGAAAGGTTGAAGTCTTGCATTTAGGTTCAGAGTATTTGGTAACAGCTGTATTGGCAGATGATCATGTGTGTCTTTTAGAATGAGCAATAGGAACAATTGTAGGGTCTATATCCACCAGACCATGGGTAATCTTAAAGAACAGTAAAATATCTAAGTACTCATGCCAGTACCTGATAGGTAGTAAGGAAAGGGTTTTTAGCCATTGTTCATAACTCTGACTGCATGAGAATGGTAGTGTCCAGATATATTTTGTAGCCTGTCTCTGTATCTTTTCTAGATTTGAGATAAGATAAATAGATTGTGGTACCCAAACTTGTGTAGAATAGCCCAGATGTAGTCTAATGATAGTTAAATAGATTGATCTTCTACATTTTGTATAAATGAAGCCAATAAAACTGTTAGTTTCTAACTTACCAACCTTGCACTGGTATCAGTCCTGTTTTAAAATCTAGTTGAGAAATAAAAATGTCAGCACACTAGTGTGCTGACAAGTTTTGTTTTTTAATATACCACAAATTTTATTGCAGAGTTTCTATCATCTCATTTTTTGGACTAAATTATATATTATATTATTATTATATAGTATTATTGTGTTTGACCATACTTGAGCAAAGTATTAGAGTTTGACATTGGTTTTGTTTTATTCAAATGCTATCTTAGTGGGTCCAGTTTTGTTAATATAAATATGTGATGCCTTTTGTAATTTACCCCTTAGCATGCTGACTTTGAGGTTCAGGTTACAATCCTTAAACTGACTTTATTCTTCGTAATGCACTTCTACATGACAGCATTTTTTTTTCTCAATACAGTAGCAAGACTGCATATTTGTCAAGTCAACACATAATCAAAATTACGAGTTTATATACATTGTTTGGTTTTGAAGTAGTTCAAAACAGTCAGCTCAGTCATATGGGTCTATGTTGTAACTTTATCTATTTCTGTGTTTGAATTGAATTAAAAACCTAACAAAACCAAACAAAAGATGAATAATGGTTATGATTGAGACTCGGGCACGTGAGACTCGGGCATGTGAGACTCGAGCACGTGGGAAGCGGGGACTCGGGAACGTGAGACTCGGAGACGTGGGACTCGGAGACGTGTGACTCGGGCACGTGGGATTCGGACACGTGGGATTCGGACACGTGGGACACGGGGACTCGGGGACGCGTGGAGACTCGGGAACGTGATAAACAAACCCGATTTTTGCGCTGAATTTGTAAAGTATAATTTTCGGTGGTCTCAAGAAAGGTGGAATATGCTGGAGAGCTTGTCTGTAGTGGCCGATGATTTCTAGCGTCTATGGTTCGGCTGGATATTTTTGCTTGCCTGTTTGACCGTAAGAACTCTGGGTAAAGAATGGTTTCTACGCAGGGGGTTTTAAACATCGTGGGCAGCCATGGAGGACTTTCTTGGTAAGTAATTGTGTTTTCTTCCTTATTCTTTTTTAGCAGGGACAAGGCACAGATGTTACAGGATCGAGAAGAAAACATAGCTACTTACCAGGAAAGTCCTCCATGGCTGCTATGCCCACGATGTTTTTAACAGTTTCAAGACCCCTGGCGTTGAAAATTTTCCGTACCCAGAGTTCTCACGGTCAGATAAGCAAGCGAACATGTCCGGCCGAACCATGGACGCTGAAAACCATCGGCTTGTTACTAACAAGCTCTCCAGCATACAATAGCTTTCTCAAGACTACCGAAAATTACGCTCTACAAATTCAGCGCAAATATCAGGTGTTGTTTGTTTATCACGTCGCCGAGTCCCCGCGCGTCCGCGAGACCCCGAGTCCCACGTCTCCGAGTTCCACTTCTTCGAGTCCCAATTCTTCGAGTTCCACTTCTTCGAGTCCCACTTCTTCGAGTTCCACGTCTTCGAGTTCCATCGCTTCGAGTCCCAAGTCCCCGAGTCTCAAGTCCCGAGTCCTACGTCCCACGTCCCACGTCCTCGAGTCTCAAGTCTCGAGTTCCAAGTCCTACGTCCCCGAGTTCCACGTCCCAGTCTCCGAGTTCCACGTCCCAGTCTCCGAGTTCCACGTCCCAGTCTCCGAGTTCCACGTCCCAGTCTCCGAGTTCCACGTCCCAGTCTCCGAGTTCCACGTCCCAGTCTTCGAGTTCCACGTCCCAGTCTCCGAGTTCCACGTCCCAGTCTCCGAGTTCCACGTCCCAGTCTCCGAGTTCCACGTCCCAGTCTCCGAGTTCCACGTCCCAGTCTCCGAGTTCCACGTCCCAGTCTCCGAGTTCCACGTCCCGGTCTCCGAGTTCCACGTCCCGGTCTCCGAGTTCCACGTCCCAGTCTCCGAGTTCCACGTCCCAGTCTCCGAGTTCCACGTCCCAGTCTCCAAGTCCCCGTCCCACTTTAAGTCACAGCCGTGTTACCGTGCGACAAAGTATATTCCATGCTAATTAGTTATTTTATTCTACTCGGATCTTCGGAACTCTGTCGGATGCTTAAGAACGGTTTTCTGTAAGGAGCGACTAAGGGTATACAAAATAGAAAAATCCGATTTCTCCAAATTTTTCCAGAATAAAACCCTTGGTAAACTATTTCTAAAAATATAAGTTTCGTTTTCCTTGGAGCTTTTTTTATTTTTGGTGAATTTCTAATCACGCTAAAGTAGGCACTTCTACAGAGGCCCCCTTTTGTACACAGAGCGTTTTCTTGAAAAGGTTAGCAGCGCATAAGTCCTTTTAATTAAATACCGTGTTTTGTTTGACACTTAACTGTCGCTTTAAGAATGGACTACCTTTATATGACAAACGGCACAAGGCAACATTGTACTGAATATTAGATTGAAAAGAACTGCCAAAGCAATTTTAAATAATTTTACAAACTAGGTGAACCACAACAGCTATCGAACGACGCCACTACTGATTTCTGACGGTGCCTTTGTTACCTACATACAACTTATCAGTCCCAGGAGCCCATTACTTTTAAGTAATGGGCTCCTTTCAGTCCTCATTACAATTCACGAAACTGTGATAATTCTAAATTGTGTCAACCCTTTTTCTCTCTTGTGATCTATAAAGTTAAATATTTAGTCAAAAAGGGCACATATATTTCTTACATCACAAACAAGTAAAAAGTGTTAAAAAAAATTATAAGCAGGAAATTAAACTTAAGACAAAACAATGGATAGGAATGCGGCAACTGTCTCAGGTGAGTAGTTAGACTGGGGTGTCACAACCACTACACCCTTTTACAAGATCTCTTAACGCGGAAAGGTACGCTTTGCGTCTTGGGTGAAATCCGTCTGTAGACACGCCAAAAAAGTCGCGATGGTCTTTAGCATCGCTAAGCTGAGTGCTTTCATGCGGCCTTTTTTATTCAACTTGCACAGGTTCAGGCTGTCGTACGCAATAGGGTGTTGTAACTGGACTTGATCCAGCATAGCCTGACGATTTTCGTGGTATTCTTGTTCCTCCTGTGCCGCTTTGATATCTGAATTGCCAACCTCCACAGCGTGACGCAGTTTAGGTGCCAATCTTGAAAAAAAAGACTGCATCTGCTGTGTGGTTAGGAACTCTTCGCTCGAGAACAGCCTCGAACTATCTTTTTTTTTTCGCAAAACGCATATCTTTCATCACATGCTCAGGGTTTTGTTTGTGACCTGTTCGCTGCTCAATGTTGAATTTTTCCTCCAGGTACTTTTTTTGTGCTTCATTAAATCGTGCCGACTTCTTTGCGGTTTTTAACGCCTAACCCTCAGATAAGATGACACCATCCGGCTTCTGTGTTTCTCTTGGGGCAAACGCTCTTGCATTGCTGTTATCGTCCTTAAGGAGACTGTGGTATGTTATTTTGGCTTTGTCTAGCACACAGTTCTTGAAGTGTCTTGTCTGACACTTCTGAGTTGGTGTGCCTCCCAGGAATTAATTGCTTGAGCTGCCTGGTTGTGTGTGTACAAAAAATCTTCCACTTCTTCAGGTGGAAGCTTTGACTCAGCCAAGCATTTTGCGATTGAGCAAAGGATATCACTAAGACTTTCACATTGTGAACACTTAAGATCATGCCCATGAGAACAGTGAGATCTTAGATCACCGTCCTAACTGTCGCTAAGGGCATATTCGCTGCAGAGGTCAGCTATAGGCGAGGACTCAGATACATGAACCTTTTCAAAAAGAGAAATTCATAGATTATTTGATTGTTTGACTATTAAAATTTCGATTTTTATCTATTTTACGCCAAATTTGTCTGGTAAGTTTAATAAAACAATAATTTGGATAGGATTATCTAATATAAGTAACGCCACTCTCCATACATGGTTATTCCAACGACATATTTATTCAACCTCGTCTTTGCGCGTGATTATACTGCGCCGCTATTATAAACAGTCATTCGTACCTTATAGTCAGCCTTTAGATACTGCGTGCCTTCCTTGAGACGCATCTCCCATCCTTTAGGAGTCTCCCTATCAAGACCTTTTTTCTTAAGTTGATTCACCATTCCACACAGATCTTCGAAACCCTTTGCACCATCTGAAGCAATGTAATCGAGCCCTTGTACGGACGTTCTCACTGAAGCCGCACAGGCATACAGGACTCTTAACATTGTCGCTGGGCTGAATGGGGTAAATTCTGTTTCCTCACAATAAGCTTGGTACTGCTTTAATAGCTTGTTAGGAATAATTGTCCTTATGACACTTGGAGTCTCTAGAATCTTGCCTGAAGAGAGGCGAAGGTATCGCTGCCCAAAGGGAACATCCTGGATCACGTGCGGGCTAGTTATGCAGGACAAAAAGTGATCTAGCTGTTTATCTTCCACTTGCATCCTCAGGCTTCTTGGCCGGGGTAGTAAAGTACCACGCCCATATTGAAGAGAGTGCTGTCTTGCCACTTTAAACCGGTACTGTGTGAGCCCTGGAATATAGTTCTGGATACGCTTAAACGTTGTCAGGTCTCCCATGATTGATAATATCTGACGCCTTGTTTCCCAGCTAGATGCGTCTCGTGAGGATTCGGCCAGTACCTTGAGATATTTTCGGTCTTCTTGTCGTTCACCGATATCTAGTTCCTTCTCGACGGAGCCACAATTTTTAACGGCCTCCCAGAGATAGCCCGCGTCTCCAGGTCCGATAAGGTTAGGACCAGCCACAATAACAAACTTGCCCTTGTACGCTCACTGGCTTCCTCCATTTGCTTTTTATATGGCTCGACTGTATCAGTATTGCACGCACGCAAGAAATTATTCAACATTACACGTCTTTTGACCTGACCACTTTTTGGTAGATCGTCACCAATAGAAGTTTCACTGCTGCTTGCTTGAGAGTCGGGTGGATACAGGCTAGTGTCTATGGTCGCGTAGTGTTTTGAATCGCCTAGTCAAGAGTTAGAAAGAGACATACTTTCATCTTCTATCGACAGGTGGTGGATTGAGACATTGGTTGGAGAGTTAGGCTGGTACGGGATACTGTCTTCTATCGCCAGGTGGTGCATTGAGTTGCAAACGTTTTCTACAACTTCTTCACGAGCTACATCTTCTCTCTATATGCCTTACAAAGAGAAAATGAACTGTGTTTAAAGATTAGAATGTGTAGATTTTCTATAAAAGTATATAGTATATAAGTATATTAGTATATAAGTAGGCTTTGTGTTATTGTTGTATCATATGATTCTTAATAAATTAATTTAAAAGTCAACTCGGACGAACTATAAACCTGTGCTATATCTTCTGGTATCCCTTCTAACGGCCCTGCTACGTTAGGTTCTACCGGAGGCTTTAAAGCTTCTGCGGATTCTGAGCTGAGAAATGCTAATTGTGCGGCTTCTTTCAGCTTTCGTCCACATTTCTAGCAGATTTCTTTAGAAGGAAATTGTCAACGTCACCACGTTCTTCCCGCATTATAAGGAGCTTTCCTAAGGAGATCAGTGACTATATCTTCAAATTCGTATCTTTGTCATTTTTCTTTGTATCTGCAAAAAATTATTGCAAGCACGTTTCCCGTCAAATGTATCTTTTTTATATGGCTACGGTCTTCAGATTTTTTTTTTTTCGCGCTCTGAAAGTTGGTAGGGGTACAATCCAGGGTCTTACATTTATTTTTCTGTAGCCTTTACTAACAGGTAGGGCCACGGGTAAACACACGCACACGCGCATGTGAACCAACAAGAAGCAGCGCTTTCATTTGTTGATAGAGAAGCTTAGCATGTAATGAAGATATTCCTTTCTTCCCTGACACTGACGTCTCATGCGATGACCATCCAATGGGAGCGGTACAAATCCTCTTATTTGAACGCCATCTGATGCCAAATTTGTCCCTATGTCTCGGGAAAATGGTAAGTTCAAGATGACTTTCGTTTACCTCAAAAACGTCTTTGAAGATGAAACGCTCAGTTACTACAAGCTCTTAGGTTAATGCTTTTTACCTATGAAATCTCCTCACATTGGACAGATGAAGCAGTTAATGTTAATTCGATTAGCATATCCTCATCTTTCCGCCCTCGCCCACCGAAATAAATAGATAAATAAATAAATAGATAAATAAATAGATAAATAGATAAATAAATAAATAGATAAATAAACAAATAGATAAATAAATAAATAGATAAATAAATAAATAAATAGATAAATAAATAAATAGATAAATAAATAAATAGATAAATAAATAAATAGATAAATAAATAAATAGATAAATAAATAGATAAATAAATAGATAAATAAATAAATAATATCAGCTTTTGTAAAACGAACAAGGCTGTCACGCATGTCCGTTATCTTGGCTGGTTTTAGGCAATGTTTCCCCTTTGTCGACAGTCTTAATGAGCAGGGTAAGTTTTAGCCTTGTTTGATTTTGAAGGTTTTGAAGGTGTGTGCCTTTACTTTTGCCATAGCTTGACCTTAACATTTTAATTAAATGAACTCAATTAAATTTAATTTAAGTTATTGCATTTCGTGAATGTATCGAAAACATCGCCGTGTTTTTCATTGTTTACTGCCCTTTTTCAGTGTTCGCCTCGGAAGAGTTTTGGTTCTAAAATTGCGGTTCAGCATTATGTTCATTTACACCTAGACGATGTACAAACTTTGACTTAACAAAAAAAGGACTTTAAAGGTAAACTTATTGATCTTCAACGGTGCTTGATATATATGAACGAGATACCGAAAATTAAAATTTCCACGCTATACCGACTTTCTCAATTGTGAAAATGTAGCGAGGCGACCAGTTTATGTTGGAAATACATACATACTGTTACTACATACCTGCCCGCGCCAATAATAACGTTGCATCAGAGTCTGACGTAGTGTCCCGAATGTTGAAATAACGCAAGTGCCCTTAATTGCGTGGATTTAGTACACTTGGCAAGAATTACAATTTTCACATCGCCTGAATTGTCGACACTTGAACCGCATGTTCCCCCAACAATCTGCCCATACTCGCACGCTGCCATTCAAAAGCGCCGTTCCGGTGGTCTTATCTTACTCCGTCAAACTTCGCTTTAGGCTTAGTAAATAGACTATGTAAGGTTAAGAAAAGGACATCTTCGCAGCCTCTTTAGAACACAGCTCTCTTCTCAATTTACGTGATCGTTGAGTAATTTAGATATTACGCCCTAACGTCCAAAAAATAAAGGAAAAAGTTTAACCTATTCATTGGCGTGAGGCGTTCGGCGATCTGCATTGAATATGCTGCCTGTGGACCATTAGACAGGGAAACATCTCAAAGGTTAGAATATTTGTTAAACAATTCATAAACTCGTAGTTATGCCGTGTCTGTGTTGTAAACATACTTTGAAATTATGATTTCGTGGTAAACAAACACGAATTGCCTACTGACGAAACTGGGTAAAATTGCTAATTTTACTTTTCAAGTTGTCCTCCGCGGCTAATACTTGATTCCAAATTCAAATTTGTAGCTTCCTTTAAACTTAATATGCCAGCAGACTCAAAAAAGGCGTCTTAAAGCAAAGGAAAGTTTGAGTTTGAAAGCTCGTGTTAGAATTTCCGATCGATATGAAAGGTCAAAAGATCGCTCAAAATTGCTAAAGTGACCTGTTTTGAAAACGCTCTAAAAACTCGCTGTTTAATTTACCCCAGTTTTTTTTCGACCGATGTTTAGTCGAATTGATTATGTTTTCCTGGGGTGTAGTTTCGTGGAGCAAAGCGATGTACCAAGATGTTTTTTTTGTCCCTGAATTCAGCCAAAATTGGGCTGTTATAATCACTCTTAAAAGGGCACAACTTCAAAAATTGGTCAAAAATTCATGTTTACGTCTTATTAAAATTTGACACCACCAGTCTTCGAAGGAAGTATAATTATTTGATCTACAGGGTTAGTCCTTTCAAGAAAAAGTTCTGTGTATAAAAGGGGGCTTCTGTGAAAGTGCCTACTTTGGCGTGATTTTAGTCGGCCTCCACAGGCAAAATTGAAAAAAAAAATCACAAAAAATAAATAACGCTCCAAAGAAAACGAAACCTATGATTTTTTGGAAATAGTTCACCAAGGACTTTATTCTTGCAATAAAACAATAGGGACCTTAATTAGTCAGGAAGGCAACGCTAAGGAAGACTTTGATTAAAAAGTGAATTTCTGCCTTAAATTAGAATTTCAAAAGTGGCAACATTTGTTTACCGTCTCATACGGCGCCACACCTCAACTTCAGCGTAACGTATTGCGTGGGGCGGCTAAGAAATGTACAAAGTTTTAAAACGTACGTGCTGAGCTATTGTTCTGCCAATTAGATCTTTTCTTTTTCCATGTCCTCGTTGCCGTCGCCGTCGTGGTTTGCTTAAGGTCCCTAATGATGTTCGGAAACCCGGAATATTCCGGGACGAACACGTGCGCCCAGAATATTGCGAGAGCCGTATGATAAGGGCTAAACATCGAATCCAGCGATGCATCCTAAGAAAGTTTTAAAATCAATCTTGCTGCTGTGAGATTAATGACCTTAAACCAATTCACCTAAGAGCGGCTTGCATCATGGACGGGCGGAGGAAGAGTCTTTATTCATTGAAAGCGGCCTTCTGCATCGAAAGCTGCAACTACGTAAAATAATGTTTACTTCTAGCTCGTGAGTGGGATACTGGTCTATCGCAAGCTACTCCCAGTATTACATCACGTTTTCTTCTACGGCACCAGATTGGACTCCTCGGCGGTGAGAGACACTGGGAGAGTCAAGCTTCTTGCTGAAATCTAACTTTATGATATTCATTTATCATCTTAAAAGGTCACGTTAAAGAGTAGAGCGCAGGCCGAAACTTAATGTTCCAGGCGTAATGATGAACAGTTTATTAGATTTTTTATGTAAGAAACAATAAATCGTAAATTGTATTTGACTTATTCGGTATTTCATTAAAACTCCTTTATAACATTTTGATTGCAACTCTGCAAGTGTGAGCTATGCAAAGTGCCGTATGATGCCACGAATATGTCATATTATCTCTTAAGTCACTTGCATGCATCTGTCATGCAGTGACCAATGAGGGTTAAGCTTGTACCGAGAGGGGGTTCCCCTACTTAAATTCCGAGAAATCGTGCTTGCGTCGGTGAAAAGACTGAGTTAGTTATGACTCCGCATTGCATTTGAAAGAGACAGGTATCGAATTCATTTTTGATACCTATTCTATAATTATCGTTCGCCACCAAATCTACAACCTGGGAAAATAACTATGTCATGTCAAGAAGAAAATCCCGGGCCGAAACTTAACCTTTCAAGTCCGAAAGAATTTCGGTACGTGCCTTGTAATCATAAAGGAGTGAGAAGCATTTCTAATCCATATTTAGTATCCAAAACAATTCGCGAGTATGCGATTAGCTGATGTGTATGATCGAGATATATGTTGGGGCATGTTCGTGAAAGATTTATTATATTTTGTAATTCATCTTAAATTTTTGTCTTATCGGCATAAACCTTATATTCGATGCTTATTCGGGAGACAGTTTATGTAGATCCTTCTTCAAATTTCTTAGAGCAGCGTCAAATGATAGATTTCAGTACTTCTTCTTTACTTACGTTTGGACCGTGAAAAGCGACAGAAATACTTTGCTAAGCACATTTGGATGACCCAAATGTTAAAATGAAACTACAGTAATTTTAGCTCAATGCTATCACTTTTAAGAAAAAACTGCCTTACTTAAAAGCCTGAAGTAAGGTTCCTGAACAGAAAAAATGGTACAGACATTGAGGTAGACAGAGCCATCCGTAAGAACAGATTTCCGTGGATCGTGGACCGTGCGGGAATCACTCTGTAGAAAGTTTTGGCCGTCAGGCTAGTTCTCACGAGCAAGTATAAACTTAAGAAACTCCTACGTATCTCTAAGCGCCGAGTTGCCATAAAAACATGTACTATAAATCACTCACGATTGTCTACCATGAATCATATTAACCTTAGATAATTAGGTTTAATTCACTTGCTTGATATGTGCTTTAGTCTTGTTTATTCCATATTTCTTGTCATATCCTTTGATCAGCACAATGCTCAAATATTAAAAAACCGTTATATTCTCCTTTTTCACTTGGATTTTTTTCATTAATAGTTATAGTATATTATCTGTAACAGTAAACAACAGTTATGAAATGGCAGCTGTCTGTCAAAATCATAATTTTGCATTCATTTCCCCTGACCGATAACGTAATTATTCGATGCTTCTTTGCTTAAAAATAATTTTCGGTAAAATTCCCAATATGATAACGAATTGTTTATAGCACTAGGGGGTTCCCCGGCAGATTTCTGAGAAACCGAAAGAGCTCAGATATGCTGAGGTTTTAATTTACATCTGGATAGCGACAGTCGTACGTTCGACTCCTTTTTGAATATTCCTTAGTTATAATAACATCATATATTAGTAAACTACTGAGTCCAATGGATAAGACACATCAAGGAAATGTGTCGAAAGAATCGAAGCATAAAGTATTCGTCTCAACAGCCATAGACGGATCGATCAAGTCGAATTGGAAGGCAGGACTTCTAATTCTGTTCATCGTGGCTTCTTGTTTTGGTCTAATATTTGCACTAACATCACGAACTAAAAAATCTCTCAAAATCGGAGGTGAGTATCGGAAATTATTTCTTTGTCACTGAGTGAAGGATTGAATTCAACGCAGCAATATAAAGCAATCACATGCACATTTTTGCGAATGCTGTAGCATGAATCCCTGAAAATTTAACTGTTAGCGTGAGAGTTGCTCAACATTCTTTCACAAGTTAACTTGCTCATTCACCAACACTTTGCTTCAGCAATGACTTTTTATCCGATCTTTGTCTTAGTCGAAACTTAATTCTTAAACATACAAAAAGAACAGCGATGGATATCAGCAGTTTAAGCGTATTTTCGACTGTGAACTTAAGAACAAGAAAATGCTTCGATAAGCAATTTGCACGTACTGATGTAAAGATGTTGTCTTTGGGTTTGATCTGCTGAATTATTTGTGTAGTGTCTAATGCGCCGAAATAATGATAATTCAAAAAGTCGTCCAGAATTTTAAAGCTCGGTATAAAAATATTGATCCGTCTCGTCTCTCCTTAACAGATGCACCAACACTAGCGACAAGTTTTAACTGCCGTCACAGCTGTAGCGACCACGCAGTGTGTGACAACACTGTGGGTTCCTATAAATGTAGTTGTTTGGATGGATTTGTGGGAGAAGGACGGTCTTGTTACGACATTAATGAATGCAAAACTAATGCTCACAACTGTAGTTTTCATGCATCATGCAATAACACTGTCGGCTCCTACATATGCAGTTGTCTGGTAGGATTCCAAGGTGATGGACAGTCTTGTCACGATATCGACGAATGCAAGACTAACGCACACGATTGCAGTGTTCATGCATCCTGTAATAACACTGTTGGCTCCTACATGTGCAGTTGTCTGGAAGGATTCCAAGGCGATGGACGGTCTTGTCATAATATCGACGAATGCAAGACCAACACACACACTTGTAGTGTTTATGCATCCTGCAATAACACTGTCAGCTCTTACATGTGCAAGTGTCTGGAAGGATTCCAAGGCGATGGACGGTCTTGTCATGATATCGACGAATGCAAGAATAACACACATACATGCAGTGTTCATGCATCTTGCAATAACACTGTCGGCTCCTACATGTGCAGTTGTCTGGAAGGATTCCAAGGCGATGGACGGTCTTGTCTTGACATTGACGAGTGCAAGACTAACATACACACCTGCAGTATTCAGGCATCCTGCAATAACACTGTCGGCTCCTACATGTGCAGTTGTCTGGAAGGATTTCAAGGCGATGGACGGTCTTGTCATGATATCGACGAATGCAAGACTAACACACACGATTGCAGCGTTCATGCATCCTGCAATAACACTGTTGGCTCCTACATGTGCAGTTGTCTGGAGGGATTCCAAGGCGATGGACGGTCTTGTCATGATATCGACGAATGCACGACTAACACACACACTTGTAGTGTTTATGCATCCTGCAATAACACCGTCAGCTCTTACATGTGCAGTTGTCTGGAAGGATTCCAAGGCGATGGACGGTCTTGTCATGATATCGACGAATGCAAGAATAACACACACACATGCAGTGTTCATGCATCCTGCAATAACACTGTCGGCTCCTACACGTGCAGTTGTCTGGTAGGATTCCAAGGCAATGGACGGTCTTGCAATGACATTGACGAGTGCAAGACTTACAAGCACACTTGTAGTGTTTATGCATCCTGCAATAACACCGTCGGTTCCTACATGTGCAGTTGCCTCGAAGGATTCCAAGGCGATGGACGGTCTTGTCTTGACATCGACGAATGCAAGAATTACACATACGATTGCAGTGTTTATGCATCCTGCAATAACACTGTCGGCTCTTACATTTGTAAGTGTCACAAAGGATTTCTGGGGGATGGACGGTCCTGTGATGATATTGATGAATGCCATACCAATAAACACAATTGTAGTGATCATGCATTTTGCAATAACATTATTGGCTCTTACGAGTGCACTTGTCGACAAGGATTCGTAGGGGACGGACTGTCATGTCATGACATTGATGAATGTGGCGATGGAACTCACAAGTGTGATAGGAATGCAAAATGCAAAAACATTATGGGCTCTCATGAATGCGTGTGTCGTTCTGGGTTTTCCGGCGATGGTTATGTGTGTCAAGATGTTGATGAGTGCAGCGACGGAAGTCATCTTTGCAGCCTTCACTCCAGGTGTGTAAACATCCCAGGATCGCACAGCTGTATATGTAAGGACGGGTATCGCGGAAATGGACAGTCATGCAACGGTGAGCATAAAATTAGCAGTTGAAGCGCTATAAATAAGTAGCCTATGGCCCTCACTATTATGAATCTTTTCATAATCTTGTGGTGGGAGCTTGATATTTCTAGGGTTGCTGTTCGTTTACTATTCTATCGTTGGATGAGAGGGATAATTAACATATTTAATTCCTTCGTAGATATCAACGAGTGCGAGGAAGCGACAGCCGAATGCAGTTCGAAAGCAAGTTGTACGAACACACCTGGTTCTTTTAGCTGTATGTGCATTGCAGGATACCGAGGCGACGGGAAAAATTGCCACGATAAAGACGAGTGCAGTAGTGGTCAGCATTGTGCCAGAAATGCAGACTGCAGAAACACCGATGGCTCTTATACATGCAGTTGCAAACCCGGCTTCTATGGTAATGGTTTTTTGTGTTTTGATGTGGATGAGTGCAAAGAGGGTACCCATTGTTGTCATGCAAAAGCTCAGTGCTCGAATACCTGGGGATCATACAGTTGTTCCTGTAAGAAAGGATATCATGGAAATGGCAGGCAGTGTAAGGGTAAGCAAGCTCTGCTTCTAAGCTTGTTTTTACTTTGAATTTATCAAAACCTTTAGTTAAAGGGCTGTTACCTTGCATTAATAGCTTAACCTTCAGGCGGAGTATACTGAATTTGTGAACCATCATTTTATTATTTAAGGGGTGGCATGACCACAACTTCAGCTCTCCCAACAGCGCTAACACTGTTACATCTTTGAATGCACCCATGAAAACCTTCATTTGTAAGAAATGCTGATTGAATCTGTTTTGACATTGTTTTCGTTTGTTTTGCAGCTTCTTCTGCTGGACTGCCCCAGCCACTCATCGGAATTTTTCTATTTGGCACTTTAATCGCTTTTGTGTTATAATTACTTTGTAAGTACGTAAAGAAGAAATAATAATAATAATAATAATAATAATAATAATTAATTTCTATAGCGCATTTTCCTAACGCCCAAATGCGCTTTACAGTTTCAAATTATCATAACCTATAATTAAATAAAGATTTAAAGTCTAAAAATATGCTTGTCGAAAAAGATAGATCTTAAGCTTAGCTTTAAAAATAGCGGAGACAGATGCGCTGCTTTTAATCTCTAATGGAACCGAGTTCCAGAGGTAAGGCGCGCATACTGAGAAAGCCCTCAGGCCAGTCAATTTGAGCTTGTGTGTTGGTTGCTCCTGTAGAAGTTGGTCAGCAGACCTGAGAGCTCGCCTAGGAACATAAGGATTGATGAGCTTAGTCAAGTGCGTTGGAGCCGCACAATGGAGTGCCTTGAAGGTGTACAGTAAAATCTTAAAAATAATGCGCTGACGGACGGGGAGCCAGTGAAGCTCAATAAGTTGTGGTGTGACATGATCAAGCTTATGCTTGCAAGTGATCACTTTTGCCGCCGCGTTTATAACATATTGTTGATGCATGGAAACTACCTTTATAGTTTCCTTTAACACCACCCCATAAAGAGTTTGTAGTGCATTGCAGTGTTGCAATGCTGTTTTATAATCAAGTTTAGAAATAAAAATGTCAGTACACTAACTGAAGCATATTGAGTCTATCACTGATCAAGTTTTCTTAATACACCACGAACTTTACTCCAAAGTTTCTATCGCCTCACTTTTCAGGTTAAATTAGAATTATTGTGTTTAAATATACTTGAGCGAAGTATTAGAATATGACATTGGAAACATTGTTTTATTCAAACGCTTACTTAGTGGGTCCAGTCTCATTAATATAAATACGTGATGCCTTTTATAATTCTCAACATCGCGTCCAGCGATGCATCCTAAGAACGGTTTCAAATCAATCTTACTGCTGTGAGATGAATAGCCTTAAACCAATTCACCTAGGAGTGGCTTGCGTCATGGACGGGCGAAGGAAGAGTCTTTATTCATTGAAAGTGGCCCTCTGCATCGAAAGTTGCAACTACGTAAAGCAATGTTTACTTCTAGCTCGTGAGTGGGGTACTGGTCTTTCGCAGGCTACGCCCAGAATTACATCACGTTTTTCTCCACGGCACCAAATTGGACTCCTCGGCGGTAAGAGACATTAGGAGAGTAAGGCTTCTTGCTGAAATCTAACTTTATGATATTCATTTATCATCTTCTCAAGCAGCAAAATAAAAAGGTCACGTTAAAGAGTAGAGCGCAGGCCGAAACTTAATATTCCAGGCGTAATGATGACAGTTTATCAGATTTTTTATGCAAGAAACAATAAATTGTAAATTATATTTGACTTATTCGGTATTTCACTAAAACTCCTTTATAACATTTTGATTGCAACCCTGTAAGAGTGAGCTCTGCAAAGTGCAATATAATGTCATGAATATGTCATATTATCTCTTACGTCACTTGCATGCATCTGTCCTGCAGTGACCAATGAGGGTTAAGCTCGTTCCGAGAGGGGGTTCCCCTACTCAAATTCCGAGAAATCGTACTTGCGTCGGTGAAAAGACTAAGTCAGTTATGACTCTGCATTGCACTTGAAAGCCACAGGTATCGAATTCATCTCGATACTTTTTCTATAATTATCGTTCACCGCCAAATCTACAACTTGGGAAAATAACTATGTCATGTCAAGAAGAAAAACCCGGGTCGAAACTTAACGTTTCAAGTCTGAAAGGATTTCGGAGGAAAAAAGCCATATGTTGGATTGTTGGTGTTACGTGCCTATTAACTGTGGTCATACTTGCACTGATATTTGGAAGCTTCAAAATTGAAGGTGAGTTTAGTTAATCCTAAAGGAGTGAGAAGCATTTCTAATCCATATTTAGTATCCGAAATAATTCGCGGGTATGCGATTCGCTGATGTGGATGATCGGGTTATATATGTATATATGTATATACTTTGTGATTCATCTTAAATTTTTGTCGTATCGGCATAAACCTTATATTCGATGCTTATTTGGGAAACAGTTTATGTAGATCCTTCTTTAATTTCTTAGAGCAGCGTCAAATGATAGATTTCAGTACTTCTTCTTTACTTACGTTTGGACCGTGAAAAGCGACGGAAATGCTTTGCTAAGCACATTTGGATGACCCAAATGTTAAAATTAGACTACAGTGATTTTAACCTAATACCATCACTTTTAAGAAAAAATTGCCTTACTTAAAAGCCTGTAGTAAGGTACCTGACCAGAAAAAATGGTACAGACATTGAGGTAGACAGAGCCATCCGTAAGAACAGATTTCCGTGGATCGTGGACCGTGCGGGAATCACTCTGTAGATCGTTTTGGCCGTCAGGCTAGTTCTCACGAGCAAGTATAAACTTAAGAAACTACTACGTATCTCTAAGCGCAGAGTAGCCACAGAAACATGTAATAAATCCCTCACAATTGTCTGCCATGAGTTATATTAACCTTTGATAATTAGGTTTAATTCACTTGCTGATATGTGCTTTAGTCTTGATTATGCTATACTTCTTGTCATATCCTTCGATCAGCATAATGCTCAAACATTGAAAAACCGTAATATTTTCCATTTTCGCGTGGATTTTTTTTTATTAATAGTTATGGTATAATACTTGTAACAGAAAACAACAGTTATGAAATGGAAATTGTCTGTCAAAATTATAACTTTGCATTCATTTCCCTTGACCAATGACGTAGTTATTCGATGCTTCTTTGCTAAAATTAGCATTAGGGGGTTCCCCTAGCAGATTTCTGAGAAACCGTATGAGCTAAAATATGCTGAGGTTGTAATTCACATTTGGATAACGACACTCGTACGTTCGACTCCCTTTTGAATATTTCCTTGGAGATAATAATACAACATATTAGAAAACTATTGAGGGCAATAGTAGACGCATCAAGGGAAAGAATCGAAGTATTAGGTCTTCTTCTTAAGAGCCATGAACGGATCCACTAAGTCGAAATGGAAGACAGGACTTTTGATTCTGTTCGTCGTGACTGCTTGTTTTGTTGTGGCATTTGAACTGATATCATTGCTTAAGAGATCTATCAAAGATAAAGGTGAGTATTGAAACTATCTTTTTATTGCTGGGTAAAAGGACTGAATACAGAAATCACAAGAAAATTTTTGCGAGTACAAATCTCTGAAAATATAACTGTTGGCGTGAGAGTTGCTCAACATTCTTACAGAAGTTTACTAGCTCATTCACCAATACTTTGTTTCAGCAATGACTTTTTCTTCGATGTTTGCCTAAGTCTAAACTTATTTGTTAAAGATACTAACAGAACAGCGATAGATATCAGCAGTTTAAGCTTATTTTCGACTGTAACTTGAGAACAAAAAAATGCTTCGATAGGCATTTTGCACGAACTGATGTAAAGCTTTTGTCTCTCGATTTAATCCGCTGAATAATTAACGTAGGGTCTCCTGGAAATTCGTTGTAATACTAATAAAAGTTCATCAGCCGAATTTTGAAGAATTTTGAAGTTCGGTATAAAAATTTTGATCCGTCTCGTCTCTCCTTAACAGATACACCAACACTAGCGACAAGTTTTAACTGCCGTCAGAAGACATTTTGTGATGGAAACGCTACATGCCAAACAAATCCAAAAGATAAGACTCATTTCAACTGTGTTTGTAATAATGGCTTCGAAGGAGATGGATTCTCTTGTAAGGACGTTGATGAATGTAAAAGCAATTCTTCCACATGCAGTCAGCATGCATTTTGTATAAATTCCATTGGCTCGTACGATTGCCGCTGTTTGACAGGATTCCACGGCAAAGGTTACCGCTGCGAGGATATCGATGAGTGTCAGAGCGAAATGCACAACTGTAGCGACCATGCAGTGTGTGACAACACTGTAGGTTCCTATAAATGCAGTTGTTTCGATGGATTTGCAGGCAACGGACAGTCTTGTTACGACATTAATGAATGCAAAACTAATGCTCACAATTGTAGTGATCATGCATTTTGCAATAACACCATCGGCTCCTACTCGTGCACTTGTCGACAGGGATTCATAGGGGATGGACTGTCATGTCATGACATTGATGAATGTGGTGATGGAACTCACAAGTGTGATAGGAATGCAGAATGCAAAAACACTATGGGCTCTTATGAATGCGTGTGTCATTCTGGGTTTTCCGGCAATGGTTATGTGTGTCAAGATGTTGATGAGTGCAGCGATGGAAGTCATCTTTGTAGCCCTCACTCCAGGTGTGTAAACATCCCAGGATCGCACAGCTGCATATGTAACAACGGGTATCGTGGAAATGGACAGTCATGCAATGGTAAGCATAAAATTAGCAATTGAAGCGCTTTAAATATGTAGCCTATGGCCTTCACTATTATGAATCTTTTCTATACACTCCTGGTGGTCATGTGGTGGGAGCTTGATATTTCTATGGTTGCTGTTCGTTTACTATTCTATCTCTGGATGAGAGGGATAATTAACTCATTTAATTCCTTCGCAGATATCAACGAGTGCAAGGAAAGGACAGCTCAATGCAGTTTGAAAGCAAGTTGTGTGAATACCCCTGGTTCTTTCAGCTGTAAGTGCATTGCGGGATACCAAGATGATGGGAAAAAATGCCATGATGAAGATGAGTGCAGTAGTGGTCAACATTGTGCAAGAAATGCAGATTGCAAAAACACTGATGGCTCTTACACATGCAGTTGCAATTCTGGCTTCCATGGTGATGGTTTTTGGTGTCATGATGTGGATGAGTGCAGAGGGGGTAACCATGGTTGTCACACAAAAGCTCAATGCAAGAATACCCGGGGATCATACAGTTGTTCCTGTATTAAAGGATATCATGGAAATGGCAGGCAGTGTAAGGGTAAGCAGGCTGTGCTTCTAAGGTTTTTTTTGCTTTGAACTTATCACAACCTTCAGTTAAAGGGCTGTTACCTTGCATCAATAGCTTAACCTTCAGGCAGAGTATACTTCGGCTGTCCCAACAGCCTTAACAGTGTTATATCTTTGAATGCACCTCTGAAAACCTTCATTTGTAAGCAATGCTGATTGAATCTGTTTTGACATTGTTTTTGTTTGTTTCACAGCTTCTTCTGCTAGACGGCCCCACCCACTCATTGGAATTTTTCTATTTGGCACTTTTATCGCTTTTGTTATAATTACTTTGTAAGTACGTAAAGAAGAAATAAGTTGATGCATGGAAGTTACCTTTACAGTTTCCTTTAACACCATCCCATGAAGGGTTTGAAATGCATTGCAGCATACAGACCTCGAACATAGTAACTTCCCTTAATCCTCTGTTGCTGTAGGTTTTCAAATAAAATGACAGAAAAGTTAAAGAAGATTTAAATATTCATTGAAAATTAATATATTTTAATTTTAATGTAATTTATAATTTTAATTTATTAGCTTTGCCAACAATACATGTGATGTAGAACATGGGTGAATTACAATAACAATAATGGGCAGGCAACCACAACAGCCATAGCCAATCATTGTGGTCCCAGGAGTATTAAAATAGTAAAACAATTACATCTATAATTAATATTTAAGAACAGCATGGAGTTGGTGTTGTTTTCAGGCTGTGACATGAGTTACATTTTGTACAGATAGTTTTATAAATCCTGGGATTGTAGATAGATCTCTTGGAGTGCAGTTGAATAATAACACATCAAAGCATGTCTGAAGTCATTTACATTGTTTATACTTAGGTTAAGCTCATCTGACAGTGTGTTCCAGATTCCTATTGTTCATACAATAAATGGCTGTTGAACGTTTGAAGTCTTGCATTTACATGTAGGTACAGACTATTTAGTAACAGCTGTATTGGCAGACGATCGTGTGTGTCCTGTAGAATGAGTGATAGGAACAATTGTAGGATCTATATCCACCAGACCAAGGGTAATCTTAAAGAACAGTAACATATCTAAGTACTCATGCCAGTAGCTGATAGGTAGTAAGGAAAGGGTTTTTAGCTATTGTTCACAACTCTGACAGCAGGAGAATGGTAGTTTCAAGATACATTTTGTGACCCATCTCTGTATCTTTTCTAGATTTGAGATAAGATAAATATATTGTGGTAAAATAAATTGTTTTTTGGCACCCAAACTTGTATAGCATAGCCCAGATGTAGTCTAACAATGGTTAAATAGATTGATCTTCTTCAAGTTGTATAAATAAAGCCAATAAAATTGTTAGTCTGTAACCTACCAACTTTTCACTGGTATCAGTGCTGTTTTAAAATCTAGTTGAGAAATAAAAATGTCAGTACACTAAGTGTACTGACAAGTTTTGTTTTTCAATATATCACGAACTTTGCTGTAGACTTTCTATTATCTCACTTTTTAGGTTGAATTAGTATTATTGTGTTTGACCATACTTGGGCAAAGTGTTGGAATTCAACTTTGGTTACATTGTTTAATTCAAATGCTCTCTTGGTGGGTCAGTTTTGTTAATATAAATATGTAATGCCTTTTATAATTTAGCCCTTAGCATGCTAACTTCAAGTTCCGGTTACAATCCCTTAAACTGACTTTATTTTTAGTAACGCACTTATACATGACAGTTGTTCCTTTGACTAGCAGTGAAAGCTTTACTTTTTATCAAATCCCAACAACCTGGTATATATCAAATTAAAGCTTAAGAAATTTCCTTTCTGATTGTTCTATTACAATAACTTTTAACTTAAATTGCTTTTAAAATTTAGCTATAAAATCATGTTTTTGGAAAAACTTGACAAAAATTACACATTAACAAAAAACAGATTATATTAATTTCTTCCAAAAATTATCTGTACAAGCCTAAAATGGAAACCAGAGTAAAGCCCCAGTCCACAAGCCTAATGGAACAATTCCTGTGACTGTGACAGCATTTTTTCTCAATACAGTAGCAAGACTGCATATTTGTCAAGTGAAAACATAATCAAAATAGGAATTTATATATATTGTTTGGTTTTGAAGTAGTTCAAAACAGCCAGCCCAGGTGATTTTGGCCAACTTCTACTTCCACTACAGAATAAACTGATGACAGCATCTGGAAAACTCTGCTGCCCTTAAATTTAACTGCCAGCAAAGTTCCATTGTTCATAAAAAATTTGTCACCTTTTCTTTTCTTTTGAGCCATTTTAAATTCTTAGGAATACCTTTCCTGTAGCTGGCTGTTCCGTAGGCCCCAGTGTTTGTCCTATAGAGCTCAGCAAATAAAGAAGGTGATGTGTAGTAGTTGTCAACATACAAACACCTACCCACATTCAAATAAGATTGCATGAGCCTCAAAACTAAGTCATATGTTTTACCTTTAGCACTGGGTGGATCTGGGTTTACACCAGTGTAAATTTCAAACATACAACAATAACCATTACATGAGTCACACAACTGGTATGACTCAACACCATACTGATCCATTCCCTCGTCGATGCAAATATTTTTGCCTGGCTTCCAGATATCTGAAAGGTTCCCAGTGAAAACACTGTATATAGTGCCAAGCTTGTTTACTGGGTTATACCCTTCCTGTCCTCGAGAAACATAATTATCATTATCACACGAGAGAAAAAATATTAAAATGTTCATAAATTTGTCTCTTGACATAATTTGAGGGAAAAAGGACGTAGATAAAACCTCGTCGGTGGACCAGTAATCCTGGATATTCTCTTGATTCACCAGGCCCATTGCAATTATCATGGCAAGAAAAGCTTTTAGGTCACCAGATGTCACCATCATCAGGCCAATTTCTAAACCTCGAGTGCTGAGGTAAACGATCTCTTTGCTGTAAAGATGCGATTGTTTCCGTTGCATATTTATTTGTTTGGGAAGCAATCTCATCGAATGGGTTTTCAGGGAAGCGGAGATGAATGTGGTCAGAGAATGATGGATTGTCAGGAAGCTCCACATTCAACCCTCGCCAAGGACCCAGTTGTCTTCTTCGGTTTCTTCTTCGCTCTCCTCCTCGCCATCGCTGTTTTCTTCTCTTCTGTCATCTTCTTCTTCGCTGCTTTTAGAATTATCCGTGTTTTCATCTAAATCGCTATCCCCACCGCCGACAACTTCATCGATAGTTCCTTCATCAACAAATACAGTATTGGCCGCCATCTTTGTTTATCAGTGTTACCGCGCAACAAAATACATTTCATGCTAATTAATTTGTTTATTCTACTCGGATCTTAGCAACTCTGTCGGATGCTTAATTTATGTCTTTGGGTTGGCCCATGAGCGTAAACCCACACAAGCCCGACAAATTCCGAACTTCTCCGCCAATAAAACAATGATGTTCGGAAACCCGGAATATTCCGGGAACCCTCTACATGGGTAAAAACGTGCGCCCGGAATATTTCGGGAGCTGCACGTTAAGGGCTAAATATCGAATCCAGCGATGCATCCGAAGAAAGGTTTCAAAACAATCTTACTGTTGTGAGATGAAGGACCTTAAACCAGTAACTTAAGAGTGGCTTGCATCATGAACGGGCGGAGGAAGAGTCTTTATTCCCTTTACATCGAAAGTTGCAACTACGTAAAGCAATTTTTGCCTCTAGCTCGTGAGTGGGTCTATCGCAGGTTACTACCAGTATTACATCACGTTTTCCTCCACGGCACCAAATTGGCCTCCTCGGCGGTGAGAGACATTGGGAGAGTCAAGCTTCTTGCTGAAATCTAACTTTATGATATTCATTTATCATCTCCTCAAGCAGCGAAATAAATAAAAGTCACGTTAAAGAAGAGAGCGCAGGCTGAACTTAACGTTCCAGACGTATTAATAACAGTTAATCAGTTTTTTTTTTATGTAAGAAACAATAAATTGTAAATTCCATTTGATCTATTCGGTATTTCAATAAATCTCAAGGCTTTCTGGCGTCTGTGGGAAAGGCATTTTATAAACTGTTGACTGCAACCCTGCGAGGTTGAGCTCCGCAAAGTGCCGATGATGCCACGAATATGTTATATTATCTCTTACGTCACTTGCATGTGTCACGCGGTGACCAATGAGGGTTAACCTTGCCGAACCGAGAGGGGGTTCCCCGACTTAAATTCCAAGAAATCTTACTTGCGTCGTTGAAAAGACTCAGTCAGTTATGACTTCGCATTGCACTTGAAAGCGACAGGTATCGAATACACATTTTATATTTATTCTATTATTATTGTTTGCCAAAACTGCAACCTGGGTAAATAACTACGTCATGTCAAGAAGGAAAACCCGAGCAGAAACTTAACATTTCAAGTATGAAAGAATTTCGGTGGAAGAATTTCATATGTTGCGTTGCTAGTGTTACGTGCCTTGTAGCTGTGGTCATATTTGTACTGATATTTGGAAACCCCAAAAGCGGAGGTGAGTTTAGTTAATCATTAAGGGGTGAGAAGCATTTTTAATCGGTATTTAGTACCCGAAACAACTCGCGGGTATACTATTCGCTAAAGTGCATGATCGGGACACATGCAAGGGCATGTATTTGAAAGATTTATTATATTTTGTAATTTCCAAAGGGTCTTGATATTAGCAGGCAGGTCAAGAATTTAAAGAAAGCGACAAAACTTTTAAGTCCGTAAAACATGTTTCGACAGATACTTCTGTCATCTTCAGTTAATTAATGTACAAAGCGTTGAAGTTGAATTATGTAGTAAGTAGAACAATGCTAATTATGATAAATAGTGACAACGAGAAAAGCGGTAAAGCATGAAAGTGTGAGAATTAAAAGGATAGTTTTAGATTAGTTTTAGATAGTTTTAGATTAAAATTATCCTTTTAACTCTCACCACTTACTTTATAATTCAACTTCCAACGCTTTGTACATTAATTAACTGAAGATGACAGAAGTTTCCGTCGAAACATGTTTTTCAGACTTAAAAGTTTTGTCGCTTTCTTTAAATTTTGTAATTCATCTCAAATTTTTGTCGTTTTGGTATAAACCTTACATATAATGCCTATTTGGGAGAAGGTTCATGTAGATCCTTCTTTATATTTCCTAGAGCAACGTCAGGTGATAGATTTGAGTTCTCTTTTATTCTTTACTTACACTACTTAGACCGTGAAAAGCAACGGAAATGCTTCGCTAAGCAAATTTTGATGACTCAAAAAGTTAAACTACAGTCAATGTAGCTTAAGGTTATCGCTATGGTAACTTACTCTATGTGTTCACAAAGCGACTTTTGAGATTGAGATTAACTCGTTTGATATGGTCACTTGAGAGGTTTCAACAGTCGTAATAATAGTGGTTGATGGGATAACTTTTAATTTCTCCAAAACAGAAAGGCAAAGTTCGATTAACACTTTTAACTGCATACGGAAGTCCTTTTGTGATGTTAATGCTAGTTGCAGAGTGTATTCTAAGGAAAGGGAACTTTCACTTGTGTTTGTAATAATGGCTTCAATAATCCGCCTAGATCAGATCGATAAAATGATTTCTCATAACATTTTACGTCGTATGTAAAATGGGTTGGATTATGACGCAAGCATATCAGTTTTAGGCCGCTTATTTGTTTTCGGTTTTAATCTTGTTATCATCAGTTCATGCACAAAGAGAGCCTAATCCCCACATCGAATAGAACATAGGGCTTGAAACCACACCGAGGCTCCGGTGTTTGATCGGGGTTCCAGCGTTTATTTGCTGTCGAGCCAACAAAAAATTTACGCACTATTGAACAGCACTTCTGTGACAGACAGCCGCTTTTACATCTGTTTTATAATTTTTAAAGGAAGTGCACCGGTTTAACATGGCAGAGATGAATGCCAAAGAACGGAATGAAGAAGAGCTGTTTGCCTATTTCTTGACATAATCTAGGCACATTCTTTATATCTTGATTTCATCATCTAGTAAAATGACACCGCAAATTAATGCAATGTTTGTACACAAATCAGGAGCATTAAACCGAAATCGGTCGCAGCGTGACAAGGATCGAAGTCACCCTCTTTGAGGCTACATCAAAACTTTTACAGCACACAGCGTGACATTATTTAATGAACAGGTTAATTCTTTCAATAACCAATGAGAGATTAATACGTATAGCATTAGAGGGTTCCCCGGCAGATTTCTGAGAAACCCAAATAGCTCAAATATACTGAGGTTGCAATTGACATTTGGATAGCGACATTCGTATGTTCGACTCCTTTTTGAATATTCCTTAGAGATAATAATACCATGTATTAGCAAACTACTGAGTGCGATAGAAAAGAAACATCAAGGGAAAGAATCGAAGCATGGAGTACTCTTCTTAACGGCCACAAACGGATCGATCAAGTCGAATTGGAAGGCAGGACTTCTAATTCTGTTCATCGTGGCTACCTTTTTTGGTCTAATATTTGCACTGACATCACTAACTAAAAAATCTCTCAAAACCGGAGGTGAGTATCGGAAATTATTTCTTTGTCGCTGGGTAAAGGATTGAATTCAGCAGAGCAATATATAGCCATCACATACATGTTTTTGCTAGTGCTTAATATGAATCCCTGAAAATTTAACTGTTGGCGTGAGAGTTGCTCAACATTCTTACAAAAATTAACTAGCTAATTCACCGATACTTTGTTTCAGCAATGTCCTTTCATCTAATCTTTGTCTAAGTCGAAGCCTAATTCTTAAAGATACGAACAGAACAGCGATGGATATCAGCAGTTTAAGCTTATTCTCGACTGTGAACTTGAGAACAAGAAAAGGCTTCGATAAGCGATTTGAACGTACTGATGTTGTCTCGTACGAAAGCTTTTGTCTCTTGGTTTGATCTGCTTAATAATTAACGTTGTGTCTCCAACAAATTCGCCGAAATAATAATAATGATATAATGAGAAATTACCAGCCATCTAGAATAAAGATTTTGATCCGTCTCGTCTCTCCTCAACAGATGCACCAGCACCAGCAACGAGTTTTAACTGCCGTCAGAAGCCATTTTGTGATGAAAACGCCACTTGCAAAACAAATCCAAAAGATAAGTTTCATTTTAATTGCGTTTGTAATAATGGCTTCCAAGGAGATGGATTCTCGTGTAAGGACGTTGATGAATGTGAAAGAAATCCTGCCACATGCAGTCAGCATGCACTTTGTATAAATTCCATCGGCTCGTACGATTGCAGCTGTTTGACCGGATTCCTCGGCAACGGTTACTCCTGCGAGGATATCGATGAATGTCAGAGCAAAATGCACGGCTGTAGCGACCATGCAGTGTGTGACAACACCGTAGGCTCCTACGAGTGCAGATGTTTTGATGGATTTACGGGCAACGGACGGTCGTGTTACGACATTAATGAATGCAATACTAATGTTCACAACTGTAGTGTTCATGCATCCTGCAATGACACTGTCGGCTCCTACATGTGCAGTTGTTTGGAGGGATTCCAAGGCGATGGACGGTCTTGTCATGATATCAACGAATGCAAGACTAACACACATGCTTGTAGTGTTCATGCATCCTGCAATAACTCTGTTGGCTCCTACATTTGCAACTGTCTGGGAGGATTCCAAGGCGATGGACGGTCTTGTCATGATATCGACGAATGCAAGACTAACACACATGCTTGTAGTGTTTATGCATTCTGCAATAACACCGTCGGTTCCTACATGTGCAGTTGCCTGAAAGGATTCCAAGGTGATGGACGGTCTTGTCATGATATCGATGAATGCAAGACTAACACACACGCCTGCAGTGTTTACGCATTCTGCAATAACACCGTCGGCTCCTACATGTGCAGTTGCCTGGAAGGATTCCAAGGCGATGGACGGTCTTGTCAGGACATCGATGAATGCAAGACTATCACACACACTTGCAGTGTTCATGCATTCTGCAATAACACCGTCGGCTCCTACATGTGCAGTTGCCTGGAAGGATTCCAAGGCGATGGACGGTCTTGTCAGGACATCGATGAATGCAAGACTAACACACACACTTGCAGTGTTCATGCATCCTGCAATAACACCGTTGGCTCCTACATGTGCAGTTGCCTGGAAGGATTCCAAGGCGATGGACGGTCTTGTCAGGACATCGACGAATGCAAGATTAACACATTCGATTGCAGTGTCTTTGCATCCTGCAATAACACTGTCGGCTCTTACAGTTGTAAGTGTCACAAAGGATTCATGGGGGATGGACGATCCTGTCATGATATTGATGAGTGCAGCGACGGAAGTCATCTTTGCAGCCCTCACTCCACGTGTGTAAACATCCCAGGGTTGCATAGCTGCATATGTAACGACGGGTATCGTGGAAATGGACAGTCATGCAACGGTAAACATAAAATTAGCAAGTGAAGCGCTATAAATAGGTAGCCTATGGCCGTCACTATTATGACTATTTTCTAGACACTCCCGGTCCTGTGGTAGGAGCTTGATATTTCTAGGGTTTCTGTTCATTTAATATTCTATCTTTGGATGAGAGGGATAATTAACGTATTTAATTCCTTCGCAGATATCAACGAGTGCAAGGAAGGGATGGCTCAATGTAGTGTGAAAGCAAGTTGCACGAACACACCTGGTTCTTTCAGCTGTAAGTGTATTGCGGGATACCAAGGTGACGGGAAAAATTGCCTCGATAAAAACGAGTGCAGTAGTGGTCAGTATTGTGCTAGGGATGCAGATTGCAGAAACACCGATGGCTCTTATACATGCAGTTGCAAACCCGGCTTCCATGGTGATGGTTTTTCGTGTCGTGATGTGGATGAGTGCAGAGAGGGTATCCATAGTTGTCACGCAAAAGCTCAGTGCTCGAATACCTGGGGATCATACAGTTGTTCTTGTAGTAAAGGATACTACGGAAATGGCAGGCAGTGTAATGGTAAGCAAGCTGTGCTTCTAAGCTTGTTTTTGCTTCGAATTTATCACAACCTTCAGTTAAAGGGCTATTATCTTGCATCAATAGGTTAACCTTCTGGCGGAGTATACTGAATTTGTGAACCATCATTTTATTGTTTAAGGGGTGGCATGTCCCCCACTTGAGCTGTACCTATAGCCCTAACAGGGTTACATCTTTTAATGCCCCTATAAAAACCTTCATTCATGAGAAAACTAATTGAATTTATTTTGTCTTGTAGCTTCTTCTGAAGGACGGCCCTACCCTCTCATGGGAATTTTTCTGTTTGGCACTTTTATCGCTTTTTTGTTGTAATTATTTTGTTCTTATGCAAAGAAGGAATAAGTTGAATATTTCAACTGGACACTTATTAAAGCAGATGCCCGTCGTGGATAACCGTGATGTTAGTAATATCGTTCCTACGATCGACATTGATGCATGGAAGCTTCCTTTACAGTTTCCTTCAACACCATCCCAGAGAGGGTTTTAATGCATTGCAGCGCACGGACCTCGAGCACAATATCTTGGTCCCTCAATCCTCTGTTGCTGAAGGTTTCCAAATAAAATGACAGGACGGTTAAGGAAGATTTAAATATTCGTTGAAAATTAATACATTTTGTATAAAATTAGAACTTTTAGTCCGTAACCTTCCAACTTTGCACCGGTATCAATGCTGTTTTATAATCAAGTTTAATATAAAGATGTCAGTACACTAACTGAAGCACATTGAGTCGATCACTGATCAAGTTTTGTTTTTTAATATACCACGAACTTTACTCCAGAGTTTCTATCGCCTCGATTTTCAGTTTAAATTAGTATTATTGTGTTTGACTATACTTTAGCGAAGTGTTAGAGTTTGACATTGGAAACATTGTTTTATTCAAACGCTTACTTAGTGGGTTCCGTTTCGTTAATTTAAATACGTGATGCCGTTTAAAATTCTCAACATCGAATCCGGCGATGCATCCTAAGAACGGTTTCAAATCAATCTTACTGCCGTGAGATGAAGGACCTAAAGCCAATCCTTTTAAGAGTGGCTGGCGTCGTGGACGGTCGAAGGAAGAGTCGTTTTGCAAAGTGGCACTTTGCATCGAAAGTTACAACTTAGTGGAGCAGTTTTTACTTCTAGCTCCTGAGTGGGATACTGTTCTATGGCAAGTTACTCCTAGCATTATATCACTTTTTCCTCTACGGCATCAAATTGGCCTCCTCGGCTGTGAGAGACATTGGTAGGGTAAAGCTTCTTGCTGAAGCCTGACTTTATGATACTCACTTATCATCCTCTCCAGAAGCAAAATAAAAAGGTCACTTTAAGGAATTGTAAACTCCATTTGACTTATTCGGTATTTCAATTAATCTTAAAGCTTTCTGGCATCTGTTGGAAAGGCATTTTACAAACTTGCGAGCTTGAAAAACTTGCTGCAAAGTGCCGCATGTTGCCATAAATATATCATATTATCTCTTACGTCACATGCATGTATCATGCGGTGACCAATGAGAGTTAACATTGTATCGTGAGGGGGTTCTCCGAATTAAATTCCAAATCGCTCTTGCGTCGGTGATAAGGCTGAGTCAGTTATGACTCCGCATAGCACTTGAAAGCGACAGTTATTGAATACATATTTTATATTTATTCTATTATTATTGTTCGCCAAAACTGGAAACTGGGGAAATAACTATGTCATGTCAAGAAGGAAAACCCGGACCGAAACTTAATGGTTCAAGTATGAAAGAATTTCGGTGGAAGAAAGCTATATGTTGGATTGCTGGTGTAACCAGCAATCCAACAACAATAACACGGGGGAGCATTGACATAGTACTATCATTAACTCCCCAATAACATGGGGGAGCATTGACATAGTACTATCAAAAACGACACTGATATTTCTGGAACATGAAGACGGCTGGTTTGTATCAGATCCAAAACGAAGTGGAGGTAAGGACTGCCGAGGGCTATGCTTCGAGTAGAGGTAAGGAAGTTCAGTTTTGTCTTTGTTTAGTTTCAGCTTGTTTAAGGACATCCAATTATCAAGATCGGATAAACATTCCTCAATTTTAGCGATGCTGCAGGTTGATTCTAAATCTTCGTTAGCAGAAATGTATAACTGAGTGTCATCTGCGTAGAAATGAAATTCCATGTTTTCCATGTTTTCCGTCGCATGCGCTCTACTGAACTGGCCGTTACTCATCTTACCGATGTTATCAGAAGAGAAGGTGAGAATGGTAACCTGACAGGCTGTGTTTTCATCGATCTATCCAAGGCGTTTGACACCATCAGTCACTCTGGCCTCCTGAGCAAGCTTTCAACTTACGGAGTTCGTGGAACAGAACTCGCATGGTTCACTGATTACCTTTTCTGCAGATCACAAGTTGTCCAATATAAAGGCGTGCTATCAGAACCTCAACCCATTCTCACAGGTGTTCCTCAGGGAAGTATCCTGGGTCCTATCTTATTCATTATCTTTTTCAACGATGTACATAAACCGCTTCAACACTCGAAGATTATCACTTATGCCGACGATTCAGTCATCTATACCTCTTCTAAAGATATTGATACTATACAGAGAAGCCTTAGCGAGGATATGAATAACCTGTGCGAGTGGTTTAAAGACAACGAACTGATCATTAACCTAAAAAAGGACAAGACGGAGTCTATGTTATTTGGAACAGCTAAAAGAATCAACCTTCAAGACAAGGAACTTAAACTTTCTGCTAATGGGTCACTCATCAATAATACCTCTACCTATAAGTACTTAGGTGTTCACCTTGACTCATCACTAAACCTCGCATCACATTTTGACCGAATCTATAAAAAAGCTGCAACCAGAATCAATCTCTTGCGATCAATTCGTCCTTTGATCGACCAAAAGTGTGCAGAATCGATCTATAACACTATGATCGCACCTATCTTTACCTATTGCGGAACACTTGGTCTTAGCTTTCCGGATTACCGAAAGGAAATGATAAAGAACATCGAACGACGAGGCTTTAAAGTTATCGGCAATAGTTCTTTTAATCCCCATCCGTGAACAATTTGATCAAGCGTAAAAGCTGTCTGTTTGTTTTCGACTGTCTCCTGAATAATGTTTGCACACCCTTTAAGAACTACTTCGAAAGGCTGGTTCATTCTAAGGCCACTAGGAATAACGGTATATCAGTGAAATTACCCAAAGTTCGTTTAGAATTTGGTAAAAAGAGCTTCTATTACCAAGGAGCAAAGACTTTCAACAACCTGCCTGCTGAACTAAGGTCGTTAGATTCGAGACTGAAATTTAAGAACAAATTGCGAGATTATTTTAGTTAAATTCTATCTAAACGTGGTTATAGGTATCCTTTTCAGAGTATTTTTATTTAATTTTTAATTTTTATTGTATGCTTTTCTAGACCTTAAGATCAATGATTATATCTTGTTAAATTTTATTTTATTTATTTATTTATTATTTTTGACAGGACCCCAAGGACAACAGTGTTACACACTGATGGGTTTCAATCCTGTATAAAAATTCGTTATTATTTATTTATTTATTTATTTATTTATTTATTTATTTATTTATGTGGTGGAAACACAGAATGTCGGCAAGTGGAGCAGTGTAAAGTAAGTAGAAGATGGGCCCAAAGACAGAGCCTTGAGGTACTCCACACTTAAGCTCACGAGACTGTGACTTCTTCTCGTTGATTAAGACAACTTGCGTGTGGTTAGTAAGAGTGCAGTGCCACAAAGTGTCAATCCTTTGAGCAATATTTCATGGTCAACAGTGTCAAATACAACGGAGAGACCAAGTAGCAGGAGCATGACACAGTGCCGATTATCAGTAGCAAGCAAAATGTCGTTCTGAACACGGACAAGGGTGGTTTCGTAGCTGTGAAATGGTTTGTAGGCCGATCGTAGCGGCTTTTAGAATTAAGATAAGCTTGAAGACGCACTGCCACAACCTTCTCAATAACTTTAAAGATAACTTTTAGGTTCGAGATATGCCTGAAATTGCTAAGAACTTCGTGATCCAGATTAGGTTTCTTGAGTAGAGCTGTTAAAACGACACTTTTAAGAGACGAAGGCGAATGACCAGATTCCAACGACAAATTTAGAATCCTACAAATAGATGGTAAGAGCACGTCGAAGTGTTTTTTCAGTAACGAGGCAGGTAGAGGATTCAGATAGCATGATTTTTGCACAACAGAACGAGCAATATTCGATAGTTCGGAATTCGAGGTAGGTGAGAAATTGCTAAGATCACAATTAATGGTGGAAATATCCAGGGAGGAAGAGAATTCGGGAATTTCTGTAGGAATAGATATGCTTTTGATACGGGTTATTTAATCTTCGAAAATGATAACGAATAGCCGAGGAGCTGGTTGGGAAACTTTTCTCTGCTTTCTTGTGAAGGAGGCGGTCGATTGAGCGAAACAGGGCTTTGTTGTCCTTGCCAGCCTTCGAAATAAGATTTGAGCAGTAGTCCATTTTTGACCTGAAATTGGTGTTCCAAATAACAGTGCGTTGATTTGCATAGGGTCGATAGTCTGATTCAAGTTTGAAGCGTCACCAGCACTTTTCAAGCTTGCGGCAGATTGACTTCTGTTTTTTTATTTCCTCGCTGCGCCAAGGAGCAATAGGTCGCAAAGTGATGATCCTTGTGCGCAGAGGTGCATGTTTATCTTTATACTTTCCCTATAAATGACTTACTTTAGCACTTTTTAGACATTGATAAGTGCAGAGACGGAAAATCAAGATGCAGCTTGAATGGACGTTGTGGGTCGTGCGATACAAACGCAGTTTACAGCAACACTGAGGGATCTTACCTCTGTAGGTGAAAATCCGGCTTTTATGGTGACGGTCTCTTCTTCGGCGGAAAGGCCTGCGTCGCTTATTGAAATGTTTGTCTGTGTTATCACTATCCAGTTTGTGTTACGACAGATTTTAGGCCTGCATCTAAATATGGAAGAAGCTACACATGATCAAAATTTCTGCTTGTTAATATTAACATCATTTCAAACGCTGTAATCACGGAAGGAGTAGGGATGCTCCCTGCCCCTTATATACATACATAAACACACACATACTTTATTTGTTAACGTAGGTCGCTAAGTGGCGGCTAAAAAAGCTGCTGTGGACCTATCTATTATCTATACAAAGTTATAAATTAGCCTAATTATTAAAATGTTTATAGAAATTTTCTCACAAAATATACAAAATCATTAAGTGAACCTTTCTATTAAAAATGTTTTCAGGGGTATTAAAAAAAAAAAGAAATGTTTATAGAGTCAAAAATATATATTACCTTAGAATACCACTAATAAGTTAATAATAAACCAAATTCTCTCATCTTTTTTAAGATTAGTAATGGTTCCTGGAACAAATGTCACTTTTCTTAACTGAGTATTGTTGCCTTTTAGCTTTGTTTTGAAATTCTCAAGTTTATCTAAGTGCCTTGATGAACTGCCAAGAGAATTCCATGCAATCGGGGCCCTGAAATAGAAACTGTTCTTCCCAAGATCTGTTTTTATGCGTTGGATTTCAAGGAGTGGGCCTTTGCGCTTCGATTCAGTAAAAGTGAAAAACGGAAGTATTCTGCTGTTCAAGCCTTGCTTGACTTTAAAAACTTCAATTTCTAATCTTCTTTTATATAGGTATCCTAAGTCTTGCCTCTTGATAGGGTCAAGGACTTCACGGTCCAAATAGTTCTTTGATATTTTGGTTCAAACTACCTTGATGCGCACGTTTTCCATTTCAGTAAACATAGCAACAGAGCAACTTCCCCAGACTCCGATACAATAAGTCACTCAAGGTATTACAGTCTTAAAATAAATTTCTTCCAAAATATGTGATTTAAGATAACTAATCTTCCTCAAAACACGTAGCTGTTTACCTAAAGCTTTTAGTGTTCTGTCTACATGTTCTCTCCATAGCAGTCGGTTATCAACCAGAACTCCTGATAGTTTTGTTTTGGCAGTGTATTCAAGCAATTTATCGCCACATCTAACTGGTAATAAAGGTCCTACAAATCGATTCTTTTGCATTATCATTACTTCAGTTTTTCCAGTATGTAGGGTAAGGTTGTTAAGTTCACACTAAGTATGGCGGATTTCTCAAAAGAGAAGATTTAACTTTACCACAACCTCATCGGTGCTATTTCATATTACGAAAGCTGTTGTATTATCCGCTTCACCTTGTGATATACTATCAGAAAAATCGTTGGCATAAATGGAAAGAAGTATTGGGCCTAAAAGTGAACCCGAAGGAACCGCATATCTTACTTCTAATAGAGGTGATATGATGCCATTTACTCTACAAACTGCCGTCGGCTTG